AGAAATTGCACAGTTGAAAACATGTCTTTAAACAAGCCTCTCTGGACTGTGTTTCTTAGTCCTTAGCACATTAGAAAAATCAGTCTCTAACCATGGGATCTAAACACTGAAAAGTCAAATCCTACAAAGCTAGGGAGAAATGCACACCTTTAAGCTAAGCTTAGAAAAGTAGGAAAAAGCTGTCAGTACTCAAGTCTTAAATTAAATAAGAATACTCAGCCTTCCAACAAACTTGACTACTGTCTACTTTTCAGTAAACAATATATTTGACCTGTAAATGCTTTCAATGTCAGCTTTGTTTCTATATGATACCACCATTTCTTATACAATAATGCAGAGTTGACCTAGTCTTTACAAAAAAAAAAAAAAAAAAAAAAAAAAAAAAAAAAAAACCTTCATCCTACACTATAGGATTCTTCTATTTTTATCTACCTGCTTATAAAAATAACATCAATACAATTTCATTGGCAGCAACCAGGTGATCACTGCATTTGTCTAGTGAAGATTTACCATCTACATCAAAGGCATTAACTTACATTGACACAACAACTAATCAGAAACTCTAAAAAATCTACTACATTACAGAAAGAAAACTGAAGTCTAGAAAAAATTTAGTTTTAGTCATCTTGGTAAAAAGTGTTTCAAAGATTCTTAGTCATGACTGGTTTCACAACTTCTGAATGCTTTTACTTTAATAGTGTTTGGAAACAGGAACTTGCAGCACTGATTGACCACCTGAAACACACTGCTGTTATCTGTAGTGGTAACAGGGGACATTGAAGATCTTCTGTTTCCAATTCTGTGGCTCTGCAGAAGGTTGATTCCTCTGGATAATCAGGCCAACACACTGTACTGCACATCTCACTTGGGGCCCTAAGGACCACTTTAGGGTATGGGCTTAAATATTTCTTCCAGTGCATTACAGTCATCTGTAGTCATCTCTTCACAAATTACTGAGGAAATTCATGTAACTCTAACTCAGAGCTGCCATGAGCTGACACACCCTAAGAAAAGGATTTATGGTGAAAGAAACAGAGCATTTCCTTGGATATGAAGAAGGCTTTAAAGCCCTGTCATGTTTTGTGCTCCTCACAGGCCTGGATGAAAAAAAGGTCCACATTTTCCAATAGTACCTCTATCCTGGAGATACAAACCCAGAATCTTTGAAGGTTCCCCTGTGCAGAGAGTAAAGACATTTTGTGCACAAGTAACAACATTTCCATCACCGATCCTTTTAGGTACTACCCTCCTTCATGCACAAGGCATACTTCTGTGTATAGATGCATTAGTATTGGCCAACAAAATTAAGCAGAGATTAAATTTAAAAATGTTTATTGGAAAAATTTACAGGCATATTTATTTTAACTGTAAGTTATGAATAAATCTCTATTTAGCAGAAAACGAATGATAAGAACTGTCACCACAGTACAATGGGGGCCTCAATCTGTCCCAAGACTGTGTTCAGTTATAATATTAAGTAGGACTAGCAGTAAGGAAGGAAAAATTACTCTGTAGGTCTTAATACTGTAATTAATATGATTGATATTTTCAGAGAATAATAAAAAGTTTATCAAGAAAAATCTAAATTAAAAAGATTGAAAGCAGGAGCAATTTTCCTGTGATTATTCATGCTTTGCACCCCCAAGTGGCTTTTTAATTGTTTTGGTTTTATTCTTAACTGGATGACTACAAACACTTGTCCCAGACCTGTGAGTTAACCGAATTTTCACAGCTTTAGTGTGCCTTTTGGAAAAGTTTCCTACCATTTCATGGCTCTTTCTCCCTTCTAAAAACTCACTCAACCTTAATGAAATTTAATTTTAATATGTGCATTGTCTTGAAAGTAATCCAAGGATACCTATTCAGTCATAAAATCCTAACATAGTTATGCATTCTGTACTTGCTATGTTATCTTTCATATCCTTTACAATATATTTAATCACAAAGTAATATTACCACTACAAAGCTGACAGTTTTTATAACATACTGGCAGAGGTGGTTTACCATGACAATGGAGCTAGATTAGACACGAACCACTACTAATCTCCTCATAAATTTAATCTTCATGATTCATGTTTAATTGTACCCAGATATGAACATATTTACCTCAAAAAAAAGGGCAAATAATCTTGCTAAGAATGTAAAGGTCAAACACTATGCAGCGAGACACAGCCAAATTCATTTTCACTTTATGTCAGAAATAAATGCATTGTCAGTGACTCAGTGCTGGCTACATATTCTGTGACTAATCTTAGACCACCATAAATAAGAAGTTGACAACAGCTATAAAACTGTTTCCATTCCCATCCATGAATCTCCATTTCCCAGTACCCAGTCACCACAAAACAATTCATGCAAACACACAGTTAAGGAAATGCCCTAATAATAACAACTTTGTTGGAAATATGACTAAGCATCAACATGTAAACCAATGCTAAAACAGTAAGAAAGGGTCTGTGTGGTGTATGTGGCAAAAAAGACAGATATTGTAGTATAAATCCTTCACTTAGGAAAACTTCCAGTGATAAGACACATATTAAAAAAAAAAAATGTTTGGGTTTTTTCTCCTGCTAGTACAACTCTATGTAACACAGACCTACAGACCACAACAGACTAGCAGTCTGTCTCCCAAGTGGCTTAATACCACATCCACAGCTCCTCCAGGCTTTTGTCAAGCACTAATTAATAGCCAACACTAAATTTCTCAGATACCCCAACATTAACTTTCCCAGGTGTCAGGCTTCTTTAACATTACTAGAAGCTTTCTCCCATCCTCCAAGAAGTGAGGTGCCTGGGAAGCCTCCTGCTCTTCTCTGTACCAGAGGGTATCAAGTCTCCCATAAGACTATCTCCAAAACCTTTGTGTTTTGAACAAGATCAGTTTTAAACAGGCATCAGCACACCTGTCTGCATACCCACTCCCAGTCTCATTCTTGCTCAGGCTCTGAGTCAGGGTTGGCTGTTCAGCAGCACTGATTTAAAAGAAAGGGTAGAGAGTTACAACTGCAGTGTACTTAGGTGCACTATTGCATGCATCTATGTTCAGCACAGCAGTTAAACTCACTACAGTATTTTCAGCCAATGCCGTAAGATAAGAGTATGCTCATCTCTAATATTTAAACAACACTTCCTTCAAAAGTGGATTTTGAACCCTGCTGATGGACAGCGGTTTCTGAGTGAACAAGAGTGTGGATGACTCAGGCAAAAGTCTTAAATCACCAAGGAGCCAGACAGAAGGGGACCAGCAGGGATCACAAAACAGAAGAACTTGCAGGGGAGCTGTTGATGACAAAGCCAATTTAGAGAGAGCATTTTTACCAGAAACAGGTATGAATGTGCCACCTTATTGTTCAAATAGGGGATGTGGCCAGGCTTTAGTGGGATGGACTGTATTACAAGGAGGGGCAGTCATCAAAGTACAACCCTGGCTATTTTCACAATGTTGTCTGCATTACACCATCAAGGGGCTGCTCTGCTTGTCTAGAATGAAAGCAGCAGTAGTTAAGGGGACAATATTGACATGGTCTAGATTCATTCAGACATGCACATCTGCAAGTCTAATTTTAAGAAGCATGGAAATCAAAGCTCAGAGTGGGGTACAAAGGCTTTGTGAATAGGAGAGATCCAAAGGCTGAACTTAAAGAGGTGCATGCCACTCAGAAAGCTACCAACAGGAAGTCTAAGGGTATGTCTGATCTCCTCCAAGTTTAGATGTCTGATTCAAGTCTGCATAGTAGAGCTGCCTTAGCGTACATATAATCCAGAACCTAAATCCTATTGCTGACACAGACTCTTGAATCTATTATTTGACAGAACTGAGCAAAACTAACTCTTTGGGTTAAAATATATATGAGAATGAGTGCTGCAACTCATCTTTTAAGTTATTCGATAACTTAGTAATTCAAGTATTACAAAAGCTAGGTTTGGTTTCTAAACATCAGGGGATACAGTCATGCTCCTCCATCCCACTCTCATGCTTCCTAATGATTCAGTTGTTCTGAATTAGAGAGCTCCTCCACTGCATGAATTGATGTCACTGAAGAGGAAACAAAAAAAAGAACTAAATGCAGTAACTGCTCCTCTAGTTCAGTAGAAAGGTGAAGTCTTTTTCTGGATCCTGTTCTCTGAACATTATTTTTGATTTCTATATTAAACTATTGCTGAAGAAGAAAAAAACAAGAGAAATAATTCCAAAACCAGAAATCATCCCTAACTGGGGAAGAGAACTGAAACAGGCATTTGCTTCCTGGACTAGGAGTTGGGCTTCCCTCCACTTCCAGTTTAGAAGCTAGTCACATAGCTACTTACACAGAAGCAACACTGTATTTTGCATAGAATTTGATCTCCGAGTTTCAGTTGCCAAATGTAAGCACAGTCAAGATTAGGTGAAGTGTGAAGTGTGCATGGAGAGAGAAAAGAAGGCAGACTGTGGGTGACAATTTCTTATTCCAGTGCCAAAATACCTGCCTATATTCTTCTTTGGATTTAGCTCACAATTTTCTTTCTTGTTAAAAAATCCTATCCATCAAGAGTTATGACAAAGTCTGCTTGAAGAAGTTAAATTCTTCTCTGTTGCACAAATTCTGAACAGCTTTATTGACAATCAGTGAAGTCACAGCATTGGCCACTGGTGGAAAAAAAACAACAAAACTTTTGCTCCCCCCAAATTTTTCAGATTTACAGATTAAATATGCTAAGGGCAATAGGAACAAAGCAGAGATTATCAGACAAAAAAATAATAGGTTATCAGAAATTAATAAAATAACCATTCAAAGTCAACATAGAAAAAGGTACTCTGTGCTTTTTTAAATGGCATTTGATTCTCATCACCAAACGTATCCTAAAACAGAAGGAGGAAGCCCTAAGTCCTGTCTCTCCTGATCCACTATTAGCAAGAAATTTAAACAAAGAAGGATTTAGTTGCCTAGGTATTTCAGGCCCAGTTGTTTCATAGTCATCCTTTAAATTAAACAAAAGAATTAACTTGAATAATTTGTTACCTTTTTCTGGAAGTGTACTGGCATTGCATATCTGTTCTTCACCATCACCAGCAGATGTTGCAGCTTTTATTTTAAACTGATAAGTAATATTGGAAAGCAGGTTTCTAAAAGTATGCAGTGTATTATAAGATGAAAAATTCATAGAATTTCCTTCAACTGTTACAATGTAATGAGTAATTACACCGTTGGATGAAGCAGGAGGGTCCCACTGCACTAGGATGGATTGCCAACTTGTTGCAATACAGTGAACATTCTGGACAGCATCTGGTACTTAAAAGATACACATGCACCAAAGATTAACATTTCCACACAATTAAAACGGTAATCACAGAACAATATAGTCAGAGAAGCAGATCCAGAGTTCATAGCGAGGGTCAAACATTTCAGTAGCAGACAAATTGATAAAAGAAACAAACACACTGAGAGAACAAAAATATGCCTTTGTCCTCTAGATGGTTCACTTCCAACTACTATAAACGTGACTGAAGAGGCCACCTATCTGGCTTTTTACTAGTTGTGTGTTCCAATTTCACATCTGCTCGCATTTTCCCCATGTTTTTTTAATCAAAGTGTAGTAAGACATACCCAATAGTATGAAACCCACATACATACTCCGCAACAGTATCAACAGCAGAAGTTCCCTATTTGTTAGCTTTGTTTCTTTTAGTCACTTTGTCATATCTCCCTGACCTTTCAGCAGAGGCACAACCTGCACAGAAATCATTCAGCAGGTTTCAGAGCTGTCATATCAATGCTATTACCTTACTGTACCTCATCGCCTTGCTGGTTCCAGCAGGAGAAATTTTGTTTAATGTTCTTAAAATTTAATAAAAGGTAACAATTATTATACTCATGCTGAAAATGGAGCAATTATCTGTGAACAATTGATTAAATAGAACAATGAATTAAAGTATCTCAGAAAGGGTTAAATTGCTGGCTGTACCAACTAAGAGAAAATGAATACATAGTGAGGGGTGTCCCAACCTATTTCCTCTATTGAACCATGTCCAGGAATCCATACGATAGTGAAGAGACTGTTTGTCTGGGACTGTCCCCCAGAAATAGAGGGAAACATGTTCGTTATCTGCACAGAGGCAAACGAATCCCTTTAAAATGATCAATTTTCTTCTCAGAGTTCAAAGAAAAACCTTGTTTTAAAAGGCCGCATCTGCAGAAGACAGATTAACTGGCACTTTTAACAAAGACTAGAGACAGAATCCTTAGATGAACCCAGTGAGGAACCGATCCAGCAACTGCCAAAAATCTGGGTTGGAGGGAAAGGAAACGATGCTGCAACTAGCTGAACATAAAATCTGAGAAAAAGCCGTAAAATTACTAGACAATGCTCCTGTGGGCAGTGTCTCTCCAGCATTTCTGAAGATAGTACCATGAGTATGGAATGTCAGTGATGAAATGAGACAACTGATGGATGACCACAGCTCTTGGGCAGGACAATCTCCAGCTGCAGGGATCCAACAGCCAACCTGAATCAGTTCAGTGATGGTCCTGATTTCTCATGGTGTTGTAATTGCTGGGTACAATAACTGCACAATTTTCCCCCAAATCCCTGTTTTATCAGCTCTGGAAAGAATATTTCACTGGAAGTGTGGTCTTGAAAACTGTAGTCACCATATGGGATCTTTTGATACTTCCTTTGTCTGCTCCCATTGCTGTCAGTATAAAGGAACCTGGGAGTTCAGACACAGCCTCCAAACCCATGCTAGTCCCCCAGCACGGACAGCCCTTATAAAGTATGTGAGCCTAGGGATTGCTCTGGCCTGGCAAAGGAGCTACAGTTTTGCACAGAGGCCAGTTTACAAACCCACAGAGCTCCTGAGCTCTTTTTAGGGAATATCGAATATTCACTTTCACATGATACAATTTTTCATTTTGAAATAATCTGCAACTTCAAAAGATATATAGAAGGCACAAGACAAAATTGCACATAATTAATTAAGCCAGCTGTATTGCGTAGTGCTCTCCAGTTGTCAGGAAGAATAAGATCTAACAAATTAGGATATTTAATTAGTGGCTAGCTTCCCTTCCTAAAATAAATTATTAAAAATGTTAAAAATTTGTATTTGTTTAATATAGTTCATTTGCCAATCTTTGTCCAGCTGCTTTTGATACTGCTAAAGTTTCAGTTATTTTCAGAGGGATCTGAATTATCACTTTGATCTGCAAAGACTGATATCTATCTAATTTTCCTCCCTTTATCTGTGATGCTATTAAAAGATTTATAGTAACCATATAAGCCTCTCATTTCAGATGAGGACATTTCTAATTCTACACTTCCGACATCAAACTTCAAACCCAGCCTATCCGGTACAACAGGAATGTGAATTGGTGTTACACAGGCAGAAGACAATGAGATAGTGTTATGTTACCTTTTTTTTGGAGAGAAGAGGAAGGCTGTTGTTCAGCCATACAAGGAAAATATATATAAACAGCACTGCAGCTTAGAAAAAGTCACATCTAACCTGATTCCATTGTTGTAAACTGCACAGCATTACTGAACTGATTGCCATTCCCAAGCTTGGTAAATGCAGAGACACTGATAAAGTAGGGGCTGAATGGCTCTAATCCAACAAGGTTTGCCTCATGGTTTGAACCTGAAATGTTCTTAAGGAAGGAAAAATTATTAGTAAGCAATTAATCTGTGTAAACATTGTGGGCCTCACTTTGAACCCACTGAAATGAACAGGAGATTTAGAGCCATAGTCTTTCCTCTTCTACTCTGAGTAGCTTTCACTCAAAGTAGTCCCTGAGCTCAAAGACAAATAATGTAGGGTCAAATTCTTCCCTTCTCTTCTCCTCTCCCTCTTTCACTGTGACTTGTGAAGAAAATATGCCAAAGGATGGCATCATAATTACCATAGCATTGTTAGAACAGATTGACTACACATATGCCTTTTTTTACCCATACTGAAAACTCTTGTCACCTCCACACCACCACATCAACCCCCTCTCACCTTCTTCTTCCTTACTACACCTCTGCAGTGAAAGAGGTCATAGCTTCTCATTTCTTTTACTTTATCTAAACCAGACACACAGGCTGATGAAGAGCTTCAAAAAAATCTAAATACCATAGTTCAGTTCCTGGTAGCTGTTTTTCCCAGAGCATGCAAGGCATATTTTGTGTACATGTTGAGAGGACTATAATAACAGCAGGGAAAGACCTGAATTTCAGCAAGAAAACCTGGTAAACATCTTGTGGGATCCAAGTTATCAGAGAATTACAGTGCCTAACTACAATATTTCTATGTGGATTTCTCTGCCTGACTTGCTGCCCCAATCTAAATCTGATTTCTTGCCCATATAACATTACAAAACATGAAGAAATGTAGGGCATAGCAGATGCATTCAAATGCTCTGGCCAGTTTCTGTATTCTAATTGGGTTTGAATCTGCCTTAGATTAACAGTGGAGAATAATCTTTGGTGGTCTCCGAGGGTGCTCAAAGAATATGTTTCCAAAGGTAGTTGGCTGTAGAAACCACTGTTTCTCTTCTGTATGTGCATTGTGCTCCCCCTCTTCCAAGGATTATGGAAGACAATGGGGTGATGCCAGCACTTCATTGCACAATGGGGAACAACAGCACACTGAATAAGGGGTAGCACAGTAGGCCACCCCATGGGGACTGATTTCCACAATGCGTATGTGTAACAACATCACAAGCCGTTTCCTTGCATATTAAGTCCCTGCAGTAAGAACAGTATTGCTCAGGAGTTTTAGTAATGAAACTCCTCACAGTCTCACAGCTACCTTACGCTGCATGTCTTAAACTCACTTCTCACTGCAGCAATGTCTTTTCCCTACAGCTTTTCCAAGTATCTCTGGTGAACAGAACTCACTATATAGTTTCTAAGCCTGAGATGCATCCCTGGCCCCAGCTTGCTGCCTTTACAGTTCGTGGCGCAATTCTTGATGCCATTGAAGCAACCAAATTTAAGAAGATACAAATGCCTTGATCCATTTTTCTATAGAGTTTTACAGCATTTATTTCATTTAAATTTATTCAGTTATTCTTATACTGAAAAAATTTAAAAATGCAAACCTCTAAACAGTTTTCAACCATTTTTCAAGATGACTAGGAATGTCTGTTTTTCTTTCTGAATACTGAAAGTCTGCAGATACTAAATAGCTAAACAAAGGTAGCCACAAAACAAGTAACTTCTGTCATTTTCTAACATCAAGCTTACACTGAAATATTAACTAAAGATTAATAAAGCTCATCATTACTGAAATATTAGAAGCTCAAAGCAAATTAATATCTAAGAAATTTTCTGATTTTAAAAACTGAATTACAGGCATGATGTGAGAGCAAGTAAACTGTTTTAAGAAATAAGAATTTAAAGGAGCTTCACAATGCTAGAAGCATAACAGACATTTAAAATATTTGTCATATATTTTGTTCCTAAAGCATTAAAAAAGTATTTAAAAAAATTAAACACTGTTAATTATAAACATACCTGATAAAATAGTTTTTCAGTGTTGTTTTGATAAATCTTAAAACTGTATCTCATAATGACACCATTTGGCTGAGGACTTGGATCCCATTTTAGCCACACAGAATCTGCAGTGTAGTTGGTAATGGTCAAGTTCTGGGGTGGAGCTAATGGCACTGCAAAAGAGAAATGCGACTGAGTTCCAAATTACAAATAATTCAGGCAAAACCAAACACTCTGGAGAAGCAGAAAAACATACATACTTTCGTTACCATTTGTATCTGAACTCAACAAAACAGTACTTCATTGATATTTTAATCTTTTTCTTTCTCTTTGACATGAAACAAACTGTATTAATCTGGAAGACATGTTTAGTCAGCAAGGGATCTTAGAGATCTAACAGATCTATTCATCACTTAAACATCCCTATTGTCAGAATTAAGACATTTAACAAAACACGTATTACATATATTACTGGAAGGTATTACATATATTACTGGAAAGTGATATACTTCTCTTCCTACATCATATATTGAGTGCAACTCGGTATATATTTACAAGATATGTCATTTACCATGCAGGTGGGAGGAGGTCCATATATAGGAGACCTGTGTGAATGTGTCAGAAATATAAATGTTTTACCATTTTTCAATTACATGGGAGGATGAAGAGAAAGGTATTGTTGCTCGCTTCAAAATCCCTGAAACTTGGCAAACTGTAACACATTCCAAAGGGAAAATCCATTTCTCCTTGGAGGTATTTTTGTAATTCTATGCAGAATATGACCTCCTCTTGCAAGCTGTGGCTGGAGGAGCACTCAGAAAAGACTTCACTTGTAGTGTTTCCTTCTTCTGAAAACTCTTCACACACAAACCAATGGCAAATGAGTCCTTCATTTCAACTGTCTCCAGAGCTGATGTTCAGACCTAAGATGGATGCAGTGACACAGGGCCAATATTTAAAACTAGGTTACAATTGAGTTTGCTCACCTGACTCATCTGTGTAGAACTGAAGCATGGCAGATGGACCAGGTCCTTTTATTGTTCTTGCAGCTGCATAAATGCTGTACAATGTGAATGGTAGAAGGTCTTCCAATATGATGAAATTATTGATGGTAGAGAATGAGTTATTCCTTTCTGGCCCAAATAAATTTAAATCATAACATATTATAATACCATTTGGCTTAACAGGAGGGTCCCATGAAAGCATAACTGAAGTAGTTGAGAGATTTGAAAATGTTTTGATTATAGGAGTTGATTCTGGGACTAAATGAGGAAATAAGAAAGACAAAAACAAGTATAACCTCAGAAAAATTAGAGTTACAATGAAAAATGTCTTTTAGCTATCACTTAAAAGTTGTGCTCTGAGCGGAAAATTCTATTTCATGGTCTCAATACAGAAATATATAGCAGTTGTTTTTGTCATTGTATAACAAAAAAAGCTTTAAGTAACATGAGAAAAATAAACACAACAGTATTTTTTTCTTTTAGAAAGCTATTTGGTTTTTTTTCTGCATTTCCTTAAGAATGAATAAAATATCATTATCTTACCATCTTCATCAGTTCTTATATGCAGATTTAGAGCATGCTGTTCAGAAGATCCTTTATCAGTGGCTGGCGTAATTTTCAGAATGTAATCAGTGTATTTCTCCAGATTGTCAAAAACGATGCTTGTGTTGTAAGTAAGGAAAGACAGTATCTTACTGGTTCCCAGTTGCAATAAACTTAGGGAAACATGAAAGAAGACTAAGCCATTTGGCTGGGATGGTGGAAGCCAGCTTACATTTACAGAAGATGAGGAAATGTTTTGATAGACCAGATTTTCAACAAAACCATCTGGGACTATGAAAGACAATAAGCAAAAAATAAATGCATGGATTACAGTAATAAAGCATCCAAAACCAAAGTAGAAATAAATGCTCTAAGTATGATTAGTCTGTAATTTGTAATATTTTCTGCAACTTTAAAAAATCATTTATTATCAATAAAAAATCATAAAAATCATTTACTATCAAAAGCAAAATATTTTGAAGGTATAAATGAACAATCATTTATGTTAAATTTGTTTAATACAAGAGTTTTAATGATGGTTTAAGACATTATTTTTATTGCTCGTATCTGAAGAAAAAGCTTGAGATCTACATTCCTAGTATTACAAAGCAAAGACTCTGATCAAAATCCTTCCTTGCCAAGAAAAGTACTGCAGTACCGAAAACAGTACATCCTGGATTTTTTTAACTTTGTCATCATAACAATAAAATAATTTTAAATTTAGAGAATATTTCATAAATGGAAGCACTGATATACACTGCATTTAAAAAGTTATTAACTTACTATCCTGATCTGTATACACATCTATTATTTCACTGGTTTTGTTTCCATCTCCAAAAGCTGTGCTTGCAGTTAACCATAGAGTATAATGGCTGTATTTTGCCAAGTCATCCAGAACTGCAGAATGGGACATACTGACATCGCTGTCGTTACCGTAACTCGTGAAATTCTAAAAAGAGAAATAAAAAAAAAAGTGTTATTTATTTATCACTTTCTCTTTCTAATTTCCTATTTAGCCTTCATCACCACCAACAGATATGATTCACCATGGTGTTCACGAGACATAAACTTACATGACTCCTAACGAGTCCTAATTTTTACTGAAATATTCAAGTAATTTATTGTATATTTATTTGTCTGTTGTTACTCCTTATAAGTACTACACAGTATGTAATTGATTACTTCTGTTGCTTGTAGTTGTTGAATGCCAATCCTTTTTTAAAAACAAATGAAATCTGTAATATTGCAATGTTTATCCATATTGCATCAAGAAAACAACAAAGTATTTGCTAATTGCTCATAGATTACATGAGAATCACACATGTGATTGCCTTGCCTGATCTGCATGAAGTAAACCAAAGGACTTCTCTCACTTTATTCCATTTTTGAGAGTAGATCTTACAGAAAATGATCTGATTTTTTTAATTTAAAACTTCCAGTGGCAGAGATCTCAATGCAACACTTGAGAACTTTGTTCTATTAGTTTTCCTTTCCATTAAAAACATGCCATTATTTCTAATGCAAACATTTATACCCAATGGATTGCATTAAAGTAAAGGTACTGACAGAATTTCTTTTCTTTTTGCAGTTACTTGCTAACAAAAGGATTGCAACAGAACAAAATTCTACTTTTTTTTTTTGAACTGTAGAAAAGGCTAGTGCTCTAGATCAGCCCATCTAAGAAGGTTATTCCTGTTTGGAATGAACAATCCTGGAATCTAAAAAGAAAAAAATCATACATCAGATTATTTACATAAGATCAGCTATACCTCATAACTGATTGTGTCAAATCACCCACTGCTTTACAGGAACCTGACTTAGATGATCCCCATGAATTCAGCTCTAGCACTGGGTAGGAAGTCAAAGGTTCTGATCCGAAGAGTTAGTATCATTCCTCTCTGGCAGCCACATTGCCCCATTGAGCAGATGGCATGGGCAGCGCTTCTCAGGACCAAGCATTGGTTTTGTCCAACATTTTCATGGTGATTTGGATTTTGCCCAACCCCCTGATGAATTGCCAAGTACACATTTCAGTTATTTGGCTTGTCCACTATTTTCGGTGTTAGACCTTATTTGCAACTCCATCTCCTTAAAAACAAAGCTGGCTTTACATTAAATGCTTTCTTTAAGAAGAGAGGCTGTGACAGCAGACTTACAAAAACAGGTGACTGCAATGTTTGCATATTCAAATTCAAAAATACCATGTATAAACACAGGCATACTAAAACTGCATACTAAAAAAATGGGTTATATTTCTCTTGAGGAAAGTTCATACTGAAGAAGTCACTGTGATACACTCTACCAAACAGTAACCAATTTAACAATTTTTTTGTACAGGCAAAATTATTTTATTTCTGCAAAGAATAATAGGTGGCACTCTCATTCATTTCCCTGAGATTTTTACACCATCTGCAGATCTAGTTCTGCCTACAGTCACTAGTGCTCACGTAACCTAAATATGTAAACAGTTTGTTTTATAATGAAAATGTAAGCCTTTGTTTTGAATGCAGAACAAAAGCTGCACAAATTGGCGGTACAAATTTCTATATCCACTCCTATTAACAGACTTAAAGCACACTGTTATGTTTGTCTGAAAGATTAGGTTAAGTCAACATCAGCCAAAATGCTTAAAATTTCCACCTTAATATATGACTTCTAAACGTAGATGGAAGCTTATGCTATCTTCACATAACTAACTGAAAAAGGCTGGGAAGAGCTTTGCTTTACACTTGAATAGGGTTAAGATACCGGAAACAGAGGATCAAATTCTAAGGTAGTTAATTAAACTTTCTGATGCGCAAGCACAGTATGACAAAAAATAGCTTCTGACTCAGAAGTGCCATTCTACTACCCTCACGCTGTTATTACTATATTTTAATTATTAAAAATTATCAATTTATAACAATAATATAAAAAAAAACCCTTAAATAATTCTCTGAGTTTTCAAGGTAAAAATGTCAAAGGTACCACATCAAGTTTTGATTCTAGATTTAAGGGGAGTATGAACAGCTGAAAATCCAACTCTTAGTTTGAAAAGCATACCTTTACAATTTAGTCAGCTGTCTGGCAGTTAAGGGCTCAGTGAACCAGCAAGAATGCTGTAACAACAGGCTTTTTGGTGGTTCAACAAAAAATGTTTTAAGAAGTAGTCCCCTTGCTATGAGGAGCCCAAGGACTGGGGATTACCTCAAATTTCTGATATGACAAAATGTTAGAAAAGAATGAACATGTAATTAAGAGTAAGGGTGAGCAGGAAGAACTGTGTGGGTAAGGGGTAAGGACTGAGAAAAGATTAAACTTGCACTAATTGTACCCTGGGGATAGAACACTATAGGAAGTTTTACAATTAACTGTGGCTGCAGATGAAAGCAAACAGCTTAGGATCTTTGGCTACAGCTGAAGAAATTCTTTCTTCTGTCCCTTTCTTCATCCATACATGAAAGAAGTTTTGACATAGCAAAGTATCAGATTATTAAAAGCAGCTACGTGTAAGCAATACACACAGGCCATGAAAGTGTCAGCAGAAAGTAGTATCTTCTTCACCTCAGGAAGTGGCAGAAATTTCCAGTGGCATAAAGCTGTAATTAGTTGTATACAGATAACATAGTGGTACTGTTCTTCATTGTTAACCTTTTTCCTCTGTTCTGTTTCCTTCTTTAGGTTCATTGCATTGCATTGTTGTTCTAAGTTAGAGTATCATATACTTAACCATAGTAACTGGGGGAGAGTGGCAAAACTGAGGGCTAAACCAAGCCATCCCTCCAGGAGCGTGACATACACTGTTCCAGTACTAACCTAAGTGAAGATATTTCCTTTTTGTGTGCTGTACCATTCTGAGGCCATCTTTTAAAAAATTTGCAGTGTATTTTAGGGAAGTCTCCTTTTTATCCCTATGTTGGTTATACTCGTGAAAGAAAATGTTTGATTGTTAAGTTAATATAGCATATTTCTTGCATACCTTGTCTGCATCCTGAGGGCAGACCAAGCCTAATTTCACTCTGAACTGTATCCAGCCATGTTCATTTAGGTTGGCTTCAAGTACAGGGGTTGGGTGATTTGGGTTCTAATGTTCAGTCTCTAGAAGGGCATCAGGCTTTTTTCCCTACATAGCTCCTGGTTCCCCTGTCTGGTTTGGCCAAGCAGAGAGGTTGTCATCTGTACTGAAATTCCTACACTGGAGAATTTTCTCCAGGCAACAATTTAGGTTTGTAATTAGCACTTTTCCCACTTTCTGGCTAATCAAAGCACAAGTATAGAGAGACTGAATAAAAGAGTTTATTCAAGTCAGTGATTATCTCTTACAGATCAGTATTCAGCAATAAGACAACTACTTCCACAGATTCTTTTACTTATTTCCTTGATAAGACGGAGGCAGTATGGTTCACACACAGGGCAGTATGATTCCTTTAATCACCATGCCAGGCACTGTGGAGCAAAACCTGCAAAGCTGCTATTGCAGTGAAAGCTCAAACTGTAGGAATCCAGCAGTGTCACAGAGAAGTGATGTGAACAAGTGGTACAGTGCTATGTTATCTGTGTATGACATGACCTTCATCAGAATATGTGCCATATCTTTTCTGCACTGGGGCAGAGTAGTGAACATAAACCAAAAAGTTGCCTTTTGCCTAGACCTACGGCAGCAGGAGATGAAAGATAAAGCTGAACTTGAACCCAGCCTAGTGCAAGTGATAGCTTCTTCTATTTGGCTACCAGTCATTGCTCCCTCTCTGACACTTTTTCTTATACAATCTGTCAGCATCCCCATAGAAACAGCCCACTCATCCACTAAAATCCTCAAATTTAATCTCCATCACTAAATTTTTCCTTCTGCTGTTCTGGTTCTGAATCCTAGGTCTGAGCATCTCAGGCCTTCTGACTGGACAGCCGCACCATGATTTTTCATGTAGACCTGTAAAGCAAAGAAACTATACATTATTTTTCTGTCCTATGAAGGCATGTAACTTTTTTTCTCGTAAAGGAAAAACTATTTTTCCTGCAAGTTTCTGCATCATATCAAGGAGTAAACTGCATCCTTCATCTCAGGTCTTTTGTATTTTTCCCCCTAAACAAAATGCTTTACTCTACAAGTACCGATTTCCTAACATACTTGTAATCAGTGCTTTGTCATATTTAAGTTTTCATATGCCTGAGGAGTCTGAGAACATGTGAGGAGAAGTGAGAACTTGAGACAACAGAATAGCACTAGTTTTACTATGACTATTATATCTATTTCAGATTATGACAGCACTGGAAGATGTTAATTTGCCTGAAATTCTTCAGCCAGGATGGCTTTTCAGGCATCTAGAAGATATGATTTAAGATCTGGACCTCTGTTATTGGGTCCTGACAAAGAAGCAGATGAAAGACTGGCAGAGAATGGCAGCCTACAGCAGTGCGTCTGAGAAGGTGGGGTTCCTAGAGATGTGAAAATATAATTTACTTTTTAATTCTCGTATATCATTTCCCAAACTGAAAATCCAGTTTGCATAAACATAAGCAGAATGGTGACCTAGATGCAGAGTATCGCAACCAAGGACTATTTCTTTCCAAATGTGTGCAATACAAAACTTATCAACAGACCCTGCAACTACATGGTTATACTTCAAGTTGCTCATAGTTGTAAGCTGTTTGTGTGCATGCACTCATACAGCTTACAACAGACTGTATATGGCACATATATATAATATATATATACACATATCGGGCTGGCTTTCACATATGCATTTCTCTGTTGTAAAAAGAGTAATATAAAATATCTGACAGAAGTGAGCAGGGGAGAGTTGGGTTTTTTTTCCTCTTTGAAATCTGTCTTGCACCCACAGGAATGCCAAGGTACACAATAGGAGTGCAATGCAGATACAGTAGTTGCCATGTCAAATAGTGAACAGAAAGGCATGTGAAGGGCAGAGAGTTAAGGGGAGCAGACAGATTAGGAGTGGATCATGATTTGAGAGATTAATGGTGATCTCCCATAGCTAGTAAGAGACAGATGCAACAGCAGCTGAAACCTATCTTCTGATGGCAGAGGGATGGGTCAGAAATCAAAGCTGAAAGGATGAAAATTGTAGTTTCCACACCTAGAAGTGGAGCTATTGTCAGCACTTTTCTGCCATCCACCATGTAACTTCCACCCATGCCACCATACTCTCCTCACCCAGCTACATCACATGATAATGAAACTGGACCCTCACCTTGCTGGGCCAGTGCTACTGAGCTCCATCTTCCCTATATTGGTCCTTCATTTCCAGATTCCTGGTCACTTCCAGATGGATTTTAGCTCTCAGTATATCAGTTTCACCTTACTCTTTCCCCTCAGAGTTTCATCTTCCTAAGGGCAGGAATAGCCCAAGTCCGTAGTCCTCCTCTAAAATCACCTGAGTTGTCCAAGAATTAGAGAAATGTAGACACTCTTCACGGGATGGGCTGGTTCAGGTAATGCACTGGAGTAGAGGTTTCTCCGGGATTTATTAGGCTAAGAAAATGCTTTTGGTATAGCAGTGTGTGCAAGCAGAATCTGAAGCTCTGAACTGTAGCCCTGATTTTAATCTCATCAGAATGTGAATTCATGGCATGGTCCTGAAACCATGCAGACAGAGCCAGGAAACCACACAGTTTCACAGAAGTCAGAGAAGTGTATACACTGAAGTGTGTCAGCAATTATTTGGTCCCAGGTATTTGTAAAATTTGTGAATATTTTTTCTAGATATCCTTAAGCACATGCATAACTCAAACTAGTCATATCTTGAGCATAAAGTTATGCAGTTGAGGTAATTTTTCATGCACTAGTTTCTTCATAGATTTATATTTCTTTCTTCCACATGAGTAAAGCTTGTGACCAAAAACCTGTAAAGGAAGCTGATTTCTTCTTATTATATTTCTGTATCATAATATATTCTTAGGAAGGAGAACAGAAAAACTATATATACAATTAATAAATGTGGTGCATAATTAAGGATGAAAGTAGCAACAAAAAATCCCTACATGGAAATGTGCAGATCACCAAAAAATTATAAATAACCTTTTATTTGTCTTTTATCCTTTAATTTAGGATTCTCAGTACCTTTGTTTCAACATACTAGTCAGTGACTTCCTTTTGAGAGCAACAAAAATATGAAATAATAATGTTTTCACTCCTTTGACATCTTATTTTCAGTACTGGACAAACATGCATTAAAAAGTAAAAACAGAACTGTTACGCAAATTTATTCACATTGATAGATTAAACTAAAATAAACAGTCTAAAAGACGTGCAATGAATGTAATGAGTCTTGTGTCTATGTTGTGCATATATATCTATTAGATGTATGTGTGTGTATATACATGTACATATAAACTGCAATATGGAGTATTACACAAAAATTTTGCTTTAATGCTTAATGATATGAATGCCCAATGAGATACACAACACGTATGATTACAAGCAGTGCTTCTTTCTTTATAAGTTAAAAAGCTGCCTTGTGATAACAGAAATATGAAAAAACAATATATTGATAACTATAAAATTGGTTTAATCTTTAATGAATTATTAGAACACTTTATTGTTTTATACAAAAGAATAATATAAAAATAAGCTTACCTGCATGAATATCCCTGAATTATTTTTGAAATAAACTGAGTAGTACAGTATATTTCCATTAGGCTTTTGAGGAGGAGACCAGAACAGCACTATCGATGTGGATGTAAGGTTTCTGTACTCAACATCTTTTGGTGGATCACTTGGTGCTGGAAAAATGTTAAGGTTTAGCATACCTAACTCAAGGTTATGTACATTTTAGTGCCTCAGAAATATCTGCTATAGATTTGACAACATCTTATGTCAAATTAAATATATTTCTGACTATGGTATAAAAAAATGCTTCTGGAGATTATGAAATAAACAGTAGATGTAAATAAATTTTTTAAATGTTATTTTTTCAGACACATTTGTATTTAGCTGTAGTTCTAAATGGATACTCTTTTCTTATATAATTTGTCCTGTACTTACTGCTTTGGGTACATGGAAAGTCTAATTTGGAGATGTTGAAGGTGACTGAGTTAGGGCTTGACGCTCCATATATAGTCAATAGGAATAACAAGGATTTGTTTTAGAAAACCTAAATTAAAAGCCTTGTTCTCTCTTTGCTGATTATAAACAGAAGAGGTAACTCAGATGATACTCATGTAGGTAAACCAGATGATAATTAAGCTTGCACTTAAGCAGATAATATCTGCTTTTGACTCTTTTCTCAGCCTATTAAACATACAGGAAGGGCTCTGCAAGCCTTCAATTAGCCTCTCCTCCTATCCTGTAAAGGATAGCAGCATATGGTCCTTCTCAGTAACACAGTGATACAGGAGACTCAAATTCAGTTCCTTAAATCAGCTTAAGAGAATGTAAATCTGTATTTTTTGCCATCCAAGAAAGTGCTCTACACAACATGCAGTAGAGTACCGAACACTAAATTATCTTATTTCTCTTGCTTTGTGCTGTTCTTGTTTGTATAAAATATTAAAATATTAATTGGAAGGGGAACTCCAGTATCAGTTCCTAAAAATCCTGCCCTAAAAAGTCAGTTCACGTTTCCATAACAGCTTCTGTAGCAAAGACTGGGAATACCTCTGACCTGGTGATTTAGACAATCTTCTGAGGGATGGCTTAGATAGATGCTAATCCTGCTAGTTATTGTGTGTTGGGAAGTCTGTTTATCTATGCAGGATGATGCTGAAATATGTCTGCATACTATCCATTTTGGAACAGATTGTAGCAATATAATTGATGGGAAAACCAGAAACAATAATTAAACTGAATGACTTAAAAACCACAATATGTAGTATGATCACTTATGAAAGTCATCTATCGTGTTTGAAGTATAACAGCATTAAAATAAACAAATCAGTGTTACAGATTCAATTTTCAAATTAGAACAATTTCAGATTTGTGAAAGAGACTCTGAAGAGTATTTCCCTATCAAAAGTTGTGTCACAGCAAGATAAAACAAAGAGTTGTTAAAATACATTATAAAATTATTTCAAAAATTTTAAATTATTTTATTTTTGCCTGTATTGAAGGGAAATGCAAAGTTTTGCTCAATAAATTAACAGAAATACCCATTGTAATTTTATAGATCCATAGATACATGTACACATAAAGACAGACACACAGACAAACAGAAAAGTAGAATGTCTCTTCCTGACCAGTCAAATGCCACTTCTACTTCAGTAGCTTTACAAACTTAAATATAAGGCTGACAATTTTAAAGCTGAATGAAATTAAAGATTCATACTATATATAAGCTTACCTCCTTCAGAAGTTCTGAATGTTATAGTATCACTTTTTATGTTGCCATCTCCAAATCTTGTACTTGCTGTTAGGTAAGCATTATACTCATAGTTATATTCCAAGTCTGTGAACTGCAATGATGTTTCTGTTACATTAACACTCCTTTTAGACATTTTATTCCTAAAGAAAAAGTATTTCATTAATTATATATACACACCATTTCTGTATGTATGCAACTGTGGCATACAACATAAAACTGAAAAATGCAATATTGTGGTAAATTCAAATTATTTTAGGCTTTAAAAAAGACGGGGATAACTTTATCATTTATGTTGAAAAGTTCACTTTTGTCCTGTTGCATCACAATAAGGCTCTTATTTTGCTTTATAAAAATCCAAAACAAGAAACCCACAGAAAGATATTTGTAAATTACATCAGCAAAGACAATGATTATATGGAATATCAAGAGGACCATGTCCATCTAGTAAGTGCTATCAAATAGTTATCTGGTACCCTTGGGAAGGACACAGTAGGGCATAACTGAACTGTCTCCCTGGACAGGAATAGCGAAATATAAAAAGATTATAGCAGGGAGCATGCCCTACTGTGACTCTGTGAAATTGGTCAGAAGGCTGAAGTTATAAATGGAATAATAGAAGATGATATGGAACAGGAATTAGCTGGTGCTGAGTTAATTCTGGTGGAATGTAGCAGGGGATCAGAATGGAACTCTAGTCAGGTCAAAACGCGTCTAGAAAGACTGTAAGATGTAACATTAATAAAACACTGGTATTAGCATAGGTATGAGATGTTTATCAGAAAGTAAGATAAGATACAGCAATAACTAACGTGAATTCAAAAACTCTGCTTTTCCTCATTAAATTAAGTTAATCTCTTAAGAAAAAAAACAGCAGGAAAAAAAGCTAGCTAATGTTCCATTCCTGCAAAGATTTCTATGTGAGTGGGTGCCCTGTGTCTTTAACGGGATTTTGTACAGGGATGACAAGTAAAAGTGAATATCTTGTTCCAGGAGCTCTTCACAAACAAGAGAACAACTTATAATTAAAAAAAAAATAAAGGGAAAGGCTGATTCAAAATTATTAGATGGGCTGATTTTCATCCTTTGATAGATGAATTAATGTCCCATTAGCAAAGATCACCAATCACTAATAATTAATGAAGTTATATTAACAAACAATTGGAATGAGAAAATATATGAGAATGAAAATAATAAATTCTCCCTACCCTTTCAGATTTTGAGTGGAATGTCTCTTGACATGGGAAAGGCTCTTGGTATGAGAGAAATTTAAGAACATTTACATATTTCCCAAACTTCTGATATTTTGAATAGTCAGTAAAGAGATCAAAAGGTTGCATCTGCAGTTATCAAAAATTCTATACAAAGAAAAGACAACTTTGCCCAATATATTTTTAGTATGGAAAAATATAGCTGGTTATAATTTAAGCAAGATGAAAATCCACAGCTTAGTGCTGAAAACACTTCTACTCTCACTAACTACATTCTTATAACATCTTATTTGCCAAAATATGTTTCCACAATCAGGCATAGTTAGGAAGAAGAACAAAAGCTTGGGGTGTTTCAGGAAAAGTAGTTTTTTCTAAACAGAAAGACAAAGATTGCAATCAAAATAATAAGAAAACACTGATCAAAGTGCATGCAGTCTTAACAGACAATGAGAAAGAAAAGTACCTACCAGAACAAGCTAAGCCAAGGAATTTTAATGAAGAACAGTTAAAATTGTTTTAAATGATGTATTTCAGAAACCCAGATAAAAGAGGTTCTGAGAAATCATGTACTTTCACTTGACAAAGACAGGTACTATATTTTCTTAAAAAGCTGTACTTCAAAGTAGATTTAGTCAGTAATTATCTCATAAAATTTGCTGAACAAGATAATGCCAAAAGACAATAGCTATATACAAGTTTAGCAAGTTTGTTAATATGCCTTTGATAGTCCAGAACTGCAGATTCAGGGAGTATGAGTTTGTAGACTCAAGGCATGCAGAAAGTTGCTTTGCTACCTGCTAACACCGAAAACCACCTTGTCCTGTGACCATAAAAGATAGCAACAATGAAAACATTACAGACATTATACTATCTGTTCTAGTAGTTGTGGATTCTTGTTCCCAACCCATTAAAGAAGTTACCAAATTCTCTACAACTGTTAACAGTACAGTTAAGAGAAGGAACATCTATTATTTAACATCTGTATTAATCTTCTTCTTTCTGCTTTATTGAGAAACTCTGGGATTAACAATATTCCCCAAAATATATTGAATGCCTTTCAAAAGCAGCAACTATGGCATGGCAGTTTGCCTTGTCAAATCTTGACAATTCTTTTAAATACTTAAAATTGCCCTCCTTCTCTCCCTGCCTCCACCCCCCAAAAAAAAAAACCAAAAAAAACCCCAAAAACAAACCACACCAAAACCCAACAAACAAACCCCAAAACCCACAACCAAAAACCTAAACCACAACCTCCAAGGAAGGAGTGACGTTGTGACCCCTTTGAAGGCAATGGAAGTTTTTCTCCAATGTCTTTGCCTCAAGATGATACCTAATGCCTCTCTAATTTTAGATATGGCACAGTAAGGACAGATAAGACAGAGCAAGGAGAATATGGAAGCAAAAAGGACAAGGATTACTGCAAAAAGTTATGTGGATGCTTAATTAAAATATTTAGAAAGATAGATCAATTCGTAGGGTTTTTTTAAAAGAATTCTTACTAACTCGTCATAATAAAAAAGCAGTAAGCTTTAAGGCAATATAAGGATGAAAAGTTGTATGACCTCAAGCCTTTGAATAAGCCTGTATCAAAACCATAATCCTTATCATGAAGTAACTCTTTCCTAGCTAGAGCACAATCTTTAATATAATGTTTTCTGTGGTTAAAGAGCACCAGACCTTGACAATACAGTAGAAGTAATGAGACAAGCCAAATGTAACTTTTCTGGATAGAAGAGCTCACTCCTGTTCACTTTATCACCAACGTAACTAGAAGCTATAATTAAAAAAAAAAATAAAAAATCAGTAGGAACTGAGGCTAAATCCTACCCCAAAACTGTCAAGTAACATTAGAATAATAAATGTAAGCTCAATAGAAGTGTGTTTATAGCAACTGCTGATTGGCATATCTGGTTCGCATCTCATAACATGCATATTAGCACTTGCTTCCTGCACCTTAGTAGTGGCAATAAAATGGTACAGCATAAATGTAATATGTTAAAAGTGATCAATAACAAAATCTTTTCATTCCCAGTAGAAGTTATAATAGGTCTTTGAAGAGATGCCACATCATTAGACCAAACTGTGTTATGCAGGGAATAGGACAGAAGTTGCAAGTTTGTAAGCGACAGAAGTACTTTTTAAAGGTGAAAAAAGATCCCAAGAGGGATGACAGAAAAAAAAATAGGGAAAAAGAAAGGACAGATAGAAAAAAAACCAAACCACAGTAAATGAAAAATATCTGCTAAAAATACTTCTTTTCTATGAATATAATAAATACAAAATATAATAGTAGACATAACTAATAGCATATACAAAGACTCTTAACATTGCTCTTGCACACTTTCTACAAAAGAAAGCAATATTTCTCTATTTTAAGACTACTTCAAATCTCCTTGACAATTTAGCATAGGCTTTTGCTCTGCCTTACAACAGGCCTAATCAGAACTTAATGAAAACAGTCACCATGGTCTAATTTAAATTTGAATTCATTTACAGTAACATAACCTGTAAAAAAAAGTTGAAAATGCTTACAAAATATTTAATACCCCAATTTTCAGCTACATTGCAACCGACTCAGATAGATTATATCTGAATTTGTATATACAAAAGGCTACTATTTTAAATGCTGGATGAATATTTGTTCTCCAAAAATGTGTAATCAACACATTGTGTAAGAAAAACCTAACATTCCCGATAGGTTACAGATTAATATTTATCCTCAGAACTACTTCCAGAAAATCTTACCAGACGTAAACTGTGTAATAGAGGATAATTCCATTTGGCTCCAGTGGAGGTTTCCATGACAACTTCACAGTGACACCCGACAACTGTTTTACAGAGAGGGATTCTGGAGGAGAAGTTGGAGCTGTAAAATGAGAGAATAGGACACAACATCTTGTTAAACAGCTAAGATCGATGGGATATGCAGCATTCTTAAATAGGTTTTTAATTATTTGTGATGGAAAGTGAACTTTGTACTACGCTGGTACAGTATCCATCAACAAAGGTAACACGCAGCTTCTTTTCCTTTTTCTGACAGATGATAAAAGAAGATTTTGCATGGTGCTGTACGAACATCTGTTTCTGTGATTCAATGGAAAAAGTACTTCATGAGAAAACAGAGCAATGCGTAGGTCACAGCGATTCCCCTACTGTCCAAGTACATTGCTGTAACTTTTTTTCCCCTTCTAATAAAAGCAAGAGCTTTATAGGTATAACCACATGTAAAATATAGCAAAATAGTTCCCCTGAGGAAAAGAAGATGCTCTAAAGAATTACAGAAAGCACCAAAAGGTGGGAAAATGGATAAGCATGGCATTGAGAAATGATAAAAATGTGGGATAGTAGGCAGTGGTGAAATCTATTTTCTGCATCAAACAAGGACCACATTCATACATTTAAGATGTCACAAGGGCAAATATAAAGATAGGCATTGACTGAGACCCTCAAAATTAATTTTAAGATGAACTCTACATGACACCATGTCACGACTGTGTAAGGAAACAATGTAAGTAAATGTAAATGTTAGTCCATATTTGATTTCATTCTGAAGTTCATATAAATATTGCTGAGGAAAAATATACCTGTGTATTCATAAGTGATACTGCTTTGTAATAGCATGTTGTTGAGAAGTAAATCTTTCTCTTCATCTTGATTCATGGATATATGTATCAGTAAAAAGTTATATTAGAATTACTTTTGTTTTTCTCAAATTAAACCAAAGAGCATCATGCACTAAATATTCAGGTCATAGCTGTAGTCATGCATGAAAATTGAGAATATGAGCATAGCTATTAGCAAATCTATGAAACATTTGGTCTGGACCTTGGAACACTGTGTTCCTGTGAATAAAGAACATGTGGTGTATTATAAATATTGTTGTTTTTCAGTTGTTTTTCCTTCTTTCACTATCTCAAAAGCTGGCATAAGGGTTTTAGAACTCTGTACATTTAAGAAAAAAAATATTTTTCATGAACAAAGGTTCACTGAATTCAGTGAATGTCTGTATTTACTAGCGAAAAATGGCGACAGCTGTATTTAGTGTTTTACTTGTTTCATTATCTTCAGTGGCTATATAATAAAAGATCTGTCATATTGTGAATGTCATGTCTTTTTGGCGTGCCTGGTTCATTCTAAAGTTCTTATTCAGAGGATATTTTCTGCTGAAGAACAGTATCTACAATTCTCTGAATAAAAATACTCTATGCAAAAGATGGATTTATCAAAATTAGCTGTTCCCAGTGTGCTCCAGCAACATTAGTCTTGAGCAAAGGTTTATTACAATGTGAATATAAGCCTGTCAACATCTTGGCAATTTGCAAAGATCTATTATCATCAAAAGCTGGATCTTAGGCGATCAGTGAAGTCATGAAAAGAGACTTAATTTGGGAATGGCTTATGGGATGTTTGTCGTCCGTTTAGTCTAGGTTCCCAGAGACTTCCTCCCTAAGCAATGGGGAGGGACAGACATAGACTCCTTCAAAACATGAGTCACAGCACCTAAGTTAAGATACTGCTTTGAATTTTTTTCAGGATTCCCCCTCAAGAAACTATAGAAGGGACTAATGATAACTTCCCACAACTAAATTGGGTACTGAAAGTACAAATACCATTTTGCGGTTCTTCTGCAGTAACCAGCAAGGGATGCGATGGCTGTTCTACCCTCGGTCTGCAGTGCAGAACACTCCCCTGCTCAATTTGGAAGTCCAGTACTAAAGATAATGGACTTTGAGCATTTTCATATTAATAATTCTACATCTATATATGTGTATCTATACATGATTGTATTTAGAAGAATCGAAAAATCTCCATATGAAAGAACAAGAAAGTCCCTGAACCATTCATGCTGCCTTTTGGTGGTTTTCCATTTTTCCAGCTCTCACATGTCTGTAGAACCAAACACAACATTTAATTCTACTATGTGGTGTATTAAAATAATATTAGTAAATCAAGATTCTTCAAATTCATAAGATATTAGTAAGATCAAATGTCCATGCGCAGCAAGCATGCCATTTCACATAGCTTGTTCTGGTAAATACATTAAATAACAGATATATAGATAGATTGATGAATATGTTTGCATGTAGATAGATATAGACATCAATACACAGATATAATTGCAAAAAAACATATATAAAACTTATATCTGACCTGATGTATAGGATTAGTTTAAGACTACAGGCAGGAAATGATACATTTCAACTTCTGTTCTGACTTACCATCTTCATCAGTCAGTATATGCAGAGGTGAACTACGAAGGCCCTCCCCCATTGTGGTGCTAGCAGACACTTCTACAGTATATTCTGTATATTTCTTTAAATCTAAAGAAAGAAGAATAATTCAATAAACGAACCATTCAGTGGATCCATTTACATTTTTAAATGGAAAATAAGTAGTTTTGAAGTGCTGAATAAGCCCACCATTTACACGGATCTATGTCTTTAGAGACTGAAATAAGCATTAGGAAAACCTGAACACAAAGCATTCTGCATGAACAAAAGAAGGAGCAGAGCCATAATTGTTAGTTTATACTTCATATTCCTAGAATGCTTTACCGTGTGTCCTTGGCTGTACTCTGATAATTTACTGGTTAAGGTACTGAGCTCCCAGCATCAAGTGCTGTATCATGCCTCAGTAATAATGACAGAATATAGAAAAAGATACAAAGATGAATGCAAAGGAAAGGATTTTTTTTTGAGAATAAGATCAGAAAGATATGTAGGTGGCTCAAGTGCTTACTTCGTTACAATGATAGATATGCAAAGAAATCTATTGAAGTTCCTTGTACTTTAAACATCTAAAATACAATGTTAGACTCTGCCGTTTATGGCCCATTCCAGCACACTACGGCAGGACACAACAGGCTACTTCTCAGGACAGGTAGCACATAAATTTATATAAGAAGGATCATGTCCAACCAATTAACTAAGTGTTGATCCTGTCTCAGAACAATTTACAGTTGCTGTAAGTTCCAGATCATTTATTACTGGCCTGTAATATGTAGCGTCAGAAGGGTAGTGTTTATGACTCTTTGCTGGGTTCCATTAGCCCTCTTGAGATATATTGTATATGCCTGTATGATTCCATTGGGAATGGATGGTGGGAAAAATGATAATTCAATTTCCATGGATGAGATGTTCCTATAGGTTATGTTTTCTGGTGCAGAATCAGGAACTGGAAGACAAAATTTAGACTCACAGAAGATTTCAGTCAGTTTAATTGGTTAAGCATTTTCTTAAACTGGTTTAAATTAAATACACTGTAAACATTTGGATTGTTATCCTATTTTTTAATGAAATAAATTTTAAAAGACATTGAATTGGAAGATCAAAACCACATGACAGACACATAGTATAACAAGGTACGGGTCATTTAAAAATAAAAAAAAATATGGAAATCATCTTAACATGTCATACAAAAAGGGATCTGGAGCATGACACGAAACTTTCCTTCTAACACCCCATAATTATCACTGCAATCCTCCAAGTTAGCTATAGTTAGGAGATTTTGATGAAATTCTGCATTCAAAAGGCTAAATAATTTATGCTTAAGCAACAGCCATAAAGGGGATAAATTCTGTGAGAGACAGTATAATCAGCCCACAATTCTGCCTAATTTCATGGTAGAAAGGTAACAGAGAACTCCCAAGAGCTCTTCAAACACACCAGCCCATTAATAGGCTGTGTTTCACTCAAAATGCTCTATTCTCCAGTTTCTCCCTTGGTTTTATTCTTCTCATCTCAGAAGACATTTTTTGCAGCTTCTCATCTCTATCACAGGAATTCAAATTTGTGTTCTGAGCATCAGAGGAGTTAGGCACTGAGAAAGAACTAACTACCTTAAGAATAAAACTTGGACATAAGATCAATGTCTAAGTTAAAGTGAGCAATAAAAAAGGTTATGTCTAAGGACATTGTATCAGTTGGGCAGGTGCCTACATACCTATGGTATCTGACCAAATAAAATCTTCAAAAGTACCACCAGTGCTTCCATTATGACTATTGTTTCATGCAATCTGAAAACTAGGTGTTTGTGTCCCTGTTCCTTAAGAGCTTGACTTGGTAGGCAGGCCTAGACCACAACTACTTCACACAACAAAGATCAAAGATCATTTCAGAAACAAGGAGAAGGAGCTCATACTAATTCCGCTGTGTCTTAACAATTGAGGAACCAGAACTATCTCCCTGCCACTGCATGTCTTTCCTTACTGAAAAAAAAATGTGATAAACAGATCATGTTTAGTTCCAGGGCTAGCTCTAGATATAGACAAAGTAGGCAATTGTCTAAGGTAGCAAATTGGTGAACATGGCCCCACAAAAAGGATGATCATCACACCAGTGCTACCTGGATATAGTTGAGTCCTAAAGGAAACTAACCTTCATGTCTGTCTCACCAGACACCTTTCATTCCTGAATCTACAGCTTAACCCAACCATCTATTCCTCTATGTAAACCATTATGCTGTTTTTCCTCCAATATCTCTCCTGTTGAGCTTCACTGAAAATTGACTTTCTGTTGATGTTTTATGTCCTTTCCCTATCCTTTCCTACCTCACAGCTACTTATTTATTTCAAGTCTCTTCCTATGCCCTGTTACACCTCCTTAATGCTCATCCTTCCCAATCTTCACTTCTAAATTTACTTCCGTTTCATGGAAAAACTTCATCTACTCTAATCCTCTGCTATTTTGTTTTATCTGTATCTTCTCAAAAAAATTTCTAATAACATAAACAACTTTGCCTGCTACAAAATAGCACCTATCTGCGAATTCTGATTTTCTAAAACCATTAGGACCGAATTCTTATAAAATTTCAGTTCATAACTTGAATTTTAAATTGCACTCACTTTCTGAAAGCCCTCCTTTCCTACAAAAAAATTATTTTTCTGCAAGACACAGGGAATCCCCAAGGACAAATAGTAAAATATATGAAGTCCATCAGGCATAAAACTTCCCACTGTCTTCTTTACTTCTTAATCTTCCTTACTGTTCTCTTACTTCTGCTTTGAATATAAAAGACTAAACAGGGTTCAAGCTTATTGCTTTGCAAAGGAAACACATACTTTTAAAATTAATTAAATTGATCTCCTGGACAAAGGTCATCATAAAGCAGTTGATTGTGGAAAATATACATTTTTTTAAAAAATCTATATACTCACCAGTTTCAGAAGTTCTCACCAGAAGTGGTAAAGATGACTGATTCCCATGGCCAAGTCTGGTGAACGCCCTTACAGAGATGTTGTAGAGAGTATATGGCTTCATTTCATTTAGTGATATAGTTGTAGATGAGGCATTTTTAATAAATAAATCATTAGAATCATGGTACAGAACTTCATAGTGAGTTATGAGACCATTAGGCTGCTCAGGTGGTAACCATCTCAGATTTATTTCTGTTGCAGTTACATTTATTAATTCCACATGTTGGGGTGGGGAGTCTGGTTCTACAATACAGAAATCAAAGAGAAAAAAATAATCTCTGAGACTTCAGTTAATTGGATTAAGAATGATCTCATCCACCCATTGAACCTAACATTTAGATTAGCTAACTGTACCAAAAGGGCTACACTCACTCATTCACTCTCCTTCTCAAAGCCTTACCACCTTTTATCATAAAGATAGTCATCACTTTTTATCAAGACATAATTTCAATATGTCTTCTTTTTCACTCATAAAACCAGGCATCGTTTTGCATCCCAGACACTTTAGCTTCTCTGGATTTTCTTTTCTCATCAACTTACAAATCTATCCAAAACTGCATTTATTAAGAAAAAAATAAATCTGTCTACTGCTCCCATGCAGATTGATCCTTCAAATACTCTCACTGTCCTCCTCAAATTCAGGTTCTTTAAACTTAGCTGAATACCATCTTACTGCTTTCTTCTTAAATGACCCATCTTACTGCACTCAAACAACTGCTGAACCAAGGCACTGTATGCACTGTAACTAAATTCCCTTTAGTTTACTGATACAGCTGCTAATTCATGACCATGAAGACCCCAATGTAAATCTTGCGTGCACTGGTGTGAAAGTCATGCACAAAACAAGCCCATTTTCAGGGTGTTGGCTAAATCTACTTGCAACATATGAGTTTACGTGACTCCAGTCAGCTAATAATGCACAGAAGTGTTGAAGGAGTGGGCTGCACTTATGAATAAAATCATCTCTGAATGTCAACCTTGATTCCTCTGAAGGCTTCATCACTTTACCACTTAAACAGTCTGTCTATAAAATTAAAAAAAAATGTACTAAGAACCGGATTATGAGATTCAGTTTGTGTACAAATACACATGTCCATGAAGGAAAAGTGTTAACTGTAGCAGATCACGACTCTCTGGATGACAAGACTGTCCACACAGATATTTCCCATGTGAAGAAGCTTAATTTTCAATTGAACTGCGTTCCATCCTAACACAAGTTATTTAAGACAGATGTGAACCTTTTATTTAGAGATATCTCTTTTTTCAAGAGTCAAACAAGCTTTCACTCCTAGGTTGACTAAAGATAGGTAGGAGACATGAATCTCAACCTTAATTACCTCAGCAAAGCCAAAGAAGAAGAGGAAGACAAAAGTAATTACACATAGCCTTATAAAAAGGCAGGAATTATTGGTGGGTTTCTCAATAGCTTCCTCAAGGTTTGCACACATCTCTTACCAATGGATAAACTGCTGGCCTGAAACTCCACTCTGAACAACTTCTGTAATGCCCAAAGACAAGGAATTGCAAAGTTTCAGAGAAAAAGATATTTATATAGGTAATTTTCTGTTCTTGGGATATGCCTTTCCTCCACAAAACACTAAGCATAAAAGCACACAACCTTTAAAAAAAATTTACAAGCATTTTACAAAACACCTTTTACAAGTTTTGCTGTTTAATTTGGTATTCTGGTTGGTTATTCAAATTATCTAAGATTCATAAATCCCCATGATTTTTAATCCTTTAATCCTTTGCTCTTTTATTCATAACTAATTATTTTTTCCTGTATTGTACCATATTTGGCAATGAGAGAGATAAACGACAACTGGACAATTACCTTCTTTATTACTTTGGCAAAAACTCAAAATGACTTTGCTGAAACCAGTGAAAATGTAAACCTGATACAAATGAGAAAAGATTAAGGTTTAATACTCATGACTCTGCTCTGTAAATCAAATTCCTGTGTTCTCTTTGCAGAGGCCAATGGCAACTCCAGCTACTGCCCCTGTGCCTTCATGGGTGGAGACTGCCTTGTAAGCAAGCAAGGAATATCCAGAAATCTTCATAAAGTAGTATTATACCCTACACTAAAACTATTGATTGGCCTTAAAATTAATAAAGGCCCAAACCTGTATAAAAACAACTGCAGGTAACATCATTCAGTATAAACCCCCCTCATTCTATCAGAAGCTCTGCTTATAGACAGCAATATGGCCTCTGAATTGTTGAAAGTTGCCATTTCCAGATGCTTCAAAACTAACCTAATTTCCATAAGATAAAAAAAAAAAAAAAAAAAAAAAAAAAGCTGGAGTCCCAAAAATAATTGATTCTGGTTCAGATGGGGTCTAGGGACCTAGAGACACATTGTTTTCAGTGAAGGAACCTCAGCTTTGCAGCTTTCTTCTCATTTGTCTATCAGAGTTGAAATTACTTGATTGCTGATCATGTTGCAGCTTTCATCATTATTTCTAGCACTTACCTAAAAACAGGCTGAATGAAGTCACAGACTGATAGAAGACTAATAATTTCAACAAATACTGATTTTATTTGTACACTTTCTTCCCCTCCTTATGTATGTGCCCAGTCTTCTGAAGAAGTGCAAACTTCAATACAGAAATCAAATCATCATTGCAAACAAAGTATTTACCATCTTCAGGGGTTCTCACGAAAACATCATTCTCTTCGGACAAAGCACTTTCTCCAACTGTGGTAGAGGCTGCAACTCTCATCTTGTAATTTGTGTACTTCTTTAAACCTAAAAAGATGAAGTAAAAATATCTTGACTGTTGACTTCTTAAACGGTTTTTTTTTCCTCATAGCTATTTATAAAACTGTAAAAATGGTCACTGTTCTGAGAGTTTTTGATACACATTTGTCATCTAAAAGACAGAATGTGTTAATCCTATTTTTTGGGGGAGAGTTGAATAAGCACTCAGTCAAATCAACAGATTTTAAAATGTCATCCAGCTTCAACCCTGTAAATACATTTAAGAATTTGTCAAAACAAAGGAAGTGCATGTGTACATCCTAATATGTGCTTTCATTCTATATGCATTAATCTGAAACACCACGAGGGATGCATTTTCTTCAATTACTATCAAAATTATCACCTTAAAAGAATAAAATTATTAATGTCAGACAAATACTGAAAAATAATCCAAGTCTGAAAACCAATTAATTTAGGAATATTTTCTTATGGAGAGGCTGAGGAAGAAATTCCAAGGAGGAATTCATTTCAAAAATTACTACTTGCTACATTTCACAAATTACTGCTCGCCTTACCTAGTCCTCTCCTCCCATCTCACACTCCCTACATACCCCTCCACAGTAGACGAGTCTGACAGTAGTGTCCCAACCTGGTCTTTGCATGCAGTTGTGTTGTGTGTGTGGGGACAGGGGAGATTTGGACCACCTAACTTGGAAACATTACATAAAGTCAGAAAAAATAATTTTGTATAATATATTTGTAATTTTTATACTTTTTAAAATCAACTGACACTGTACCTGTCATAAGTAAGCTGTTGTTTGAAGTTGTTGTGTGGAATGCTCTTTTTGTATCCAGTTCCATTGCATAAACAGTATAGTGAATGATTTTCCCATTGGGATTTGCTGGAGGATCCCAATACAGCAAAACAGATGAGGAGCTAATATTCTTGTAAGATATATTTTGTACTGAGCTTGGAACTGAAATGAAAACAGAAAACTATAACAGTAAGTAAATAAATGATTTTTTAAAAATTAAAATGTTCAGTGAAAGAAGTCAATGTATGTCAACTTTCAAAATACGAGAGTTACAACGTTTCACCTTGTTCAAGTGTCCTGACTGTAAGAACTGATGGTGGTCCTTCTCCAACAACAGTGAAAGCAGACACACTGATTGTGTAGTCTGTGAAAGGTACAAGGTCCTTTATAACATATGACAGTTCTTCAGACAAGATGTTAATGTTATATTGATTATCTATGATTAAATGAAGAGAAATAGTTACTTACTTGTAAACTAATTTTTAAATTTTGCATTCGAAACTCACTGTGACACAGCAACCTGGAACTATTTTATTGTAAAAGAATGAACTTTCATGGCAATTACAAAAATAAAAAGTTTACACTCCATCCCTTCACTCAATTAAGGAAAGGCTATTATATGTCCATTTTCATGTGTACAATAGATAGATTAGCCTAGATGAAAGAATGAATGGGCAAGAACTAAAACCATGAGGCTTATTCTGACAGCTGTCTCCAAAAAGAATTGAGAGAAATCCCCTAGGAACTAGGAAAAGGCATATTTGTATATGGCCTAGTCTGTCCAGTAACTGCTTAGAACCACGGCTCCTAGGTTGATGGAGTTTTTGTGTTTTTCAATATTTTTTTAATTGGGAAGGACAGATTCCCTCTTCCTTTCCCTCTCAATGATGCTATAATATTTATACTTGAAATGGCTCTCCTCACAGATCCCTTCACAGTGGTATTTTTAGCAGAAGAGTTGTGGTCAGCAGAATGAAGAAGTCATACACGCCCAGAAAGTTTTTGGTGCATCTGCAGTAAAGTTCAAAGGCAGACACAATCCAACTGTGCTAGTCAAAATCAACTGTTATAAAGCAGCCATTATGCCACTGCAACATGAAAAAGTGTGGGTGCTTCATATATCTGTGTATCAGGCTCAGAGTTTCACAAGACCAGCATTAAAATGAAAGCATCTAAAAATCACCAGACCCTGTTGAAAATTTAGCTGTCAACAGCTTTAACTACTGCAATTACTATAAAATAACACTCGTATGCTAGATTACAATAGATGCTATCTGAAGTCAATTCTTCAGCAACGCAGACATCTTTTAGCAACTCAATACCTCAAGCTGAATGAGGCCGTAAAAAGAAGATTCACATTTAAAGCACTGTAAGTTTTCTCTGTATGACGAAGATTCTTCAGGATTAATATAGTACAGAAAAGATCCATTGTAGTTTAAACTAATGGATTAAATTCTGGTTTTAGATACTAGTGTACATGGAGGATTTGGTGACTTTAATAAAAAATTCAAAACATAAAAAATTGACTTTCTCCCCACTGTTCAAAATTCACTGTAAAAATTGACTGGTATTTTAAGTCCCTGCCTGTCAGCTGAGGTCTGCTTAATGATTTGCAAATATCCATACTTGGTAAAGAAACACTGGTCCATTGATAATACAGAACAAGTGTACACACTAATGACATCACCATGTCATGGGGTCATCTCCACCTGTTTGTCACTCATAGCAAAGTTGTAACTTTTTGACCTATTTACCTTCACTGACATTTGAAAACCTATTAGTCAAAAGGCTTAGAGAAATCAAGGTCTCTGAAGGGCTTGGAGATATGTTAATCCCTGACAATCACACCTGCTTTGGCAACTGTAATAACTGATTGTCTATGCAGCTTGGCTGATGGCTTTCGGGTGCTCCTTTCACTAGGAAGAAGGTCAGCTAGGTGACAAGGGGCTAGTTCCTGCCTGTGTGGCATTCCCATTTGCTTCAGAAGGTTATTTGGTAGTAAAATAATCTGACTCCAACAAATGACCCATTTATAATTTGCTTGAACCATGTGCTAAAGATCATATCTGGGACAATGATGGAGGTCCTTCAGAACAAAGGAGCAGGTAGAAAAACACCCTAAAATATCTTACCCATAGCAGAATGTAATTTTGCAGCTCCATTTATAGGAGGCAAATTATCACCAGATACACTTGTAAATATTACTGGGGAAGCTGTCTGAATGCTGGAAAACATTTCAGCTGAACCTTCATATAATTCATTGGCTGTTTCCATTGAATTCCATGTGGGAGAAGGTTTGATGTTTTCATTTATCATGTATGGTTGCAAAGAATCAATCAAATACTAGAAATTAGAAATATAAAAATAAATCACAAAACTTGTAATCACTAATTTATTTAATGACATTTATATACAATATAGAAATAGTGTTTGTGTATTTGTGCATATATATATATATACACACAGACTACATAAATGTTGGCATGCAAACATTATCTTTCCAACCGTAATTAACTTTGCAAAATACAATATTTCTAATGAAAAAGACTCAGCTGCCAGTAGCCTACAACCTTTTATTAATTTTTATTGTTCAAATAAACACCACATTCTTTTTTCTTAACTTCTTAAAATATGTTTTTTATAGTAAAGTGGCAATTTTAGACCAAGGTCTTTAATGCTATGTCCTTGAAGTTTTATTGAATAGACACATGTTTGAGCTTAGGAGATTCCATTTGTACGTGTTCTGAAAGAGGGTTGCAGGCACTGAAAACAAGAGGGCTTCAGATGCCCCTACTAGGCCCTGAAGAAAAGGAGTAACAGGTTGACTAGATCACTGAGAGGGAATAATGGGACAGAAGCTAATGAAATAAGGGGAGAGGGAAAATAAGGGAGTATATATGTGAAAAGGGAAAGTGAAAAGGAGGTAAGTGATATAGAGGTCCATAAGACAGAAGGAGCAAAAGATAAATGTTGGAAAGGGATGGCAGTAGGTATAAGGGGAGCAAGAACTACAAAGGGAGGAAAAACAAAAGCAGAAGAGAAAAGAGAGAGCTATTAAAGCATAGGTACAGAATGGTGTGCAAGTACTAGATCATTATGCCCCTTCAGGATCTGGGATGGAATCCAGCACTCCAGTGTCTCTAAATTGTTCTGCTGTCATCTGTGAACACTCCCCACTCACACATACGGCCCACTTCACTGCCAGAAAGAGATGCTTTTACAGTGATGTAACTAATACACATTAGCTCTCTCCCTACAGACTCTGGATGGAGAGAGAGCAAAGCAGCTTTTTTACTGCTTTAACTATGGGAGGGCTGTTAACCACAGGCAGAGATATAGCATCAGTCTCACCTAAATACCAACAGGTAAAAGCTATATATGCCTCATCCTCACCAGCATTTTATAGCAAAATAGTAATCCATGTGGAAATACTTTTTGGCTTCTGAGGCTTTTCCAGATATAAGACAACAGCTTTTTATTGCTACTAGTTATTGAGTACTGTTAGCACTGTGGATCTGACAGTTCAAATCCTGTAGATGTTCAAAGCTTGTGTTAATGGGGCTAAATAAAGTAATATTTATTATGATTTGATTTGGGTTTTAATTAGAAAATTACATTCAATAAACTATAATAAAGCAGCAATGATGCTACACTAAGAACTCAAAAATTAGGAAATCCCATCATTAAAACATATCTGTGCAGACAACTTCCCTTTTTTTTGTGTCTGTACTATGATACGATCTTTAATTACACAGTTATATACTTTCATTTTCCAAGGATGTCTGCCTAGTTTAATGAATGGATCTTTATCCTCATTTTTTTTCCCCATTACTCCTTATTTATTATTTGGCTCCAGGGCTCTATTTAATGTATACCATTCAACTTGAAAATGAACTCCTTCATTCAGCTCTACATCAAAAACTTAGATTCTATGTCAGATCCAGAAAAAGACACCATTATCTGAAAAAAGGAATTTTGCAGACTTTGGGCACCTATGTTCAAAGTTCAGACCGAAAAGCCCTACCTCAGAAAGCACTCAATCCTGAGCTCAATGTTTGCTAGGGTTCTACAGTTCCGTACTGCATGCTCAGAGCTGCCCCATCTAAGCATGTAGAGCATATTGGCACCCAAAATCCAGAAGCTAGACTGACTGATAGCATACATCCTCTACAAGATTTGATCCAATAGATGTGCACAGATTTCCTTAGTATACAACCATAGCATGGAGTTCAGCATGTAGTATCAAGACATGTACATTCAGGGATACAGATGGGGGCAGAACGTCTAGGGCTGTTTGCCTTGCAAGCAGAGAATTTAACCAGCCTTGGGAGACTTCTGTTTAATTGACTTGTCCATAGGATTCATACCTGCATCTTCTAGGAGTTTGCCTTAGTGGCTATGTATCAATCTAGGCACCTAAATCTTACTGCTAGGTCACCCTATGCTGCAAAGAACTCAAGGGCTAGAAAGCACAAGACTGGGCTACGGCTTCCTGTCTTCAGTAGCTAAGACAGTCTGGATCATTCTACAATAATCATTTATTGTTTTCCTGTTGTAGAAAGAGCATTATTGGAACCTCTTTAAAACCCAGCCAGAGAAAGAGGGTAGGGTGAGGAAGGTGGCTTTTAAAAGCATTGTCAACTCCTCTGTGGTGGCTAATTCCACATTCTGTATCTATCAGATAAGGCAGAGAAGCAAATTTAATCTAGCAAAGAAATCCATATTAAAAAAACCCTGAATACCTTATTTTTTCCTTCAAGGACAGTGTTTTCCAGAATCACTTCTGTTTCCTGCAGATGTACTTTAACTCTGTACTGAGTAATGATTCCATTAGGTTGTCCTGGCTTCCTCCAAACAATTTTTATATATGTGGCCTCCACTTCTGCTAGATGTAAATTTGATACAGCACCTGGGACTGAATATTCAAGAAAAACTTGATTTAATTAAACATTTGTGCTTATTACAAACTTTTTCAGCACTGCATGCAAAGTACAATAAGCATTTAATCAAGTTTCATGTCCTTATCTTTTGAGTTAGTCCTGTGCAGGTAGACAGTTACTTCACATGCTTTCTAAGCAAACAAGTTACACTTCTAAAAATATGCACACAGGTTTTTTTGACATATATGACTTATGTATGAATATGGTCAGATCCTAAGAGGATGTAAATCAGGATAGGTCCACTGAAGTCAGTGCACTGGAAGCAAGCAGACCTTTGCTAGCTTCCTATATAGAATCTCAAGTATATCAATAATGAAAGCTTAGTTCTAAATTCATCAAAACCTGAAGTAAAAAGCTGAAAAAAAAATTAACATGATACATCTTGCTCACTTCCCTTTTATATCAGGTTTTGGTTCAATTTCTTCTTTACCTATGCAGTAATAATGATAGCATACTTTGCAAAGGACTACCAGAGATTAGATACACTTATATTCAATAGAACAATATTCAGATTTGATATGAAAAATATTCTTTCCTAATATACCTCAGAAAAAGACAAACTTGAAATTACTTGCATAATGAATATTTCTAGATTTGGCATTAAAATGAGACATTCTATGTCCCTCTAAAAAAAATACCCAAACCCACCAAAATCCCCTTTGGCTTCTGCCAGTGAGTTTAGACAGCAGATAAGCATGATTGTAGTGAGGCAGGCCATCTCTGGAAATTGTCTCTGAGAGCTGAGAAAAGCAGATACTTCAAGAAAGAATATGATAAATAAGGATAGGTGTTCCTCCTGCTGTTACACCTTGACAGCAAGCATTGCAGCAATCACTGATTGAGAGATTTTCTAAATTTGTGCTGTGTGGCATAAACATAATACAGAAATAACCATCATGAAACTGCCTGCCTATTACACACTGACTCTTAATTTTTTCTGGCTGCATCCTCAGATGCAGATCCTGCACAATCTCACGCACATGTAAGATAAAACTGCATTTCAATACAGCAAAGGACTCACCTGGTGAGTCAACTACTGGCAGCCAAAACTCCCAGACAACAGAGTAGATGGCTCAGGGGCTAAACTGCCCCAAGACAAGATCTCGATGTTGGGTCTGCCTCAGAGCTGTGGTCCCTGGTAAAGGTGGCTTCATTAGAGACTGGTGTGGGACCTTGGATTTGGTGAAAATTAGTCAAATGACATGTTTAATAAAAAAAATTGGGGCTGAACTAACTAGCCGTGGGGAATCCTGCGCTGTTCTTTCTTTTCCACTTGCTGCCATCTAATGGGTAATGGGGGGACCTGCAATTTAATTACCATGTCTAAAAATAACTACTTTCATTCAGGCAGAAACTACGTTTCTTTCAAATCTGTGAAGGCTTCTGATATTCTGATAGCGAGTAGTTTAGTGATAGCATATGAACTCATCAAAAAATGGAGAAATAAATCGATGTGATAAATTTTTAGCTAATTTCTTTCATTAGCTTTTTATTCCTCTCTTATAACACACCCCTTTTTTCCTTTGAAAAGTACCTAAAAGCCTCTGAAGGGAAAACTGAAACCTATTATCATTTACAGTCTGTTTACTTCACTTCTCTTTGCTTACTTACCATCTGCAGGAGTGAAAACTTTAAGGTTAGTCTTTGGCCCCACCCCAGCACTTGTCTCAGCACTGATGTACACATCATATGTTGTAAACGGCACAAGGTTACTAAATACAAATTTATGATCTTTTGTGCTGTTATCCAGAATATGACCTGGAATTAAAAATGAAGAGATTTTAGCTCAAAAATAAAGAGTCCACAGCTACTTTCCAGGATGATGAATGATGAAAAGCCAGATTTGTTTGTGAAAAGCCAATTTGGCATCAACTTCACCAGAAACAGTACTGAATATCTGGGGGGAAAAACAAACAAACAAACAAACAACAAACAAAAAAGCCACCTCAAGAAGGTACAAGTTTTAAAAGTTGGGTTTTTTTTGTTTATAAATTAATTTCTATTGCTTTTCCTTATGTGGTCCCTTAAAACATTACTATACAGATCATTAACTTCTTATGTAACTACAAGCAATTATATAATTTCTTTATACATATATGTCTGAGTTAAAAAAAATTATAAACCCGTCAAAACAGACGCATACAGTTGATTATATGCTACGCACGAATTAAAATCCTCCAGAAATCTTTAACAGGAAGAGAAAAGAGTAAAGGTAAGATACAGAATTATTTGGATAAACACCCTCATTCAGCTGCAAGCTTAGCCTGTCATCTCTCTGAAAGAGTGAGGAAAGTTAGCTTCCTCCACTCTTCAGAATATCCAGTGTGAATTTAATTGCATATTCTTCCTCACAATGGACAGACTTTTCCCTTAAAAGTAATCTAAAAACTATTAAAAATTCTAATAGTAAAAAGTATACATAGCACTGCTTTCAAATATTCATTTTTGATTGGCAGGGACACTAAGAATGCAAGTGTAAGGAAATAAGCACAAAAAAGAAAAAGAAATAAAAACATTAATTCAGACTTACCAGATGGTCCATACAGCTCAACTCTGTAAGTAAACTTTCCTGTTACTATGGTAGGTGGGTCCCACATCACTGCAAAAGACTTTGCTGTAATGTTGCTCTTGGCAAAATTTTGTGGTGGATCCTCTGGAACTTAAACAATATTGGAAAAAGTCTATGAACATAAAATAATTTATATAGGATTTCCAAGAACCACATATCATATAATTCTTTTTAAAGATAAACATTAAATATTCTGAAGGGAAGCTACATTAAAAGCACATCTCATCAAAAATGAATTAATTTTATTTAATTTCTTTTATAAGGTAATGCTCACAAAAGGTATCAAGAGAGCTGGTAGTATGCAAACAATCCTTAAAAGACAAAGGCAGAGATTCTACCAAGTTTAGCATGGAATTCATCATGATAGCCATTACATATAGATGATGTTTAACTATGACTGTGAGGCTTAGCAATACAGAGCTCACATCAGGTACTTTTTTTCTTCCTTGAATAGGTTCTTCTTTCATATAGACAATATTTCGTATTGAAGATTTTTGACAACAATAATGATATACATTGCTACCCAAAAAGGTAACCCTGGAACCAATTAAGTTTGTGAAAACATTACATACATGAGTAATTTTCTGTTTTCATTAAACTATTCACATATATTAAATGACTCCAATACTCAAGTGATTATGCAATCTGACCCCTGCCCTTTCTAAAGTATACCTTACTGCACTGATAAATTAATGAGATATTATCACAGAGATTAAAATCTGAATCCAAAAACAACTAAAGGTGGTGGAATTTTGTACATCCATACGGAGTAAAAACAAACCTGATTTTAAAAATGCTGCATATGCAAGTAAACTTATGGGAACTGCTTGATACAAATTTCTAAGAAAATCAGGTCTTGATATGTCATGTGTAAGATTTAAGCCAATATGGAGATATAGACTGATCCTGTAAACAAATATGTAAGTTAATTAACATATTACTCTTTAAAAAAAAGTCCTATAGTCTTTTGTAAAAACTAATGTACAAATGCAAGAAATGAAAAATCTGATCATTCCTGAAAGATATGCAATAGATGGGTCAGTAGTGACTACTTATGCAAATTGTATCAGCTACAATTGCACACAAGTATTAACTTATGAGTCCACTTTTTTTTTCCAAGTTTAAATCTTTTTCTCTTTGTAGAAGTATCCTCCCCTTGACAGCCATCCCTGCAAAGGAAATACCTTCATGCTGAGGTATTTTTTTAAAAAATAGTTTATATTTTTAAAAAATATATATATATAATGAAGCATTTAAAAATACTTTAAATAAGTAGCCTCTTTTTCAAAAAACAAAGGAAGAAAAATATCATCTTTGTCAGGAACACAGGAGAGCTTCAGCACATCTCATAAAATTCTGGTTGGAGGGAACAAAAATAATTGCAGCATTTTTAAGTGGAACATCAATGAGCTATACAGTAAGGACATATATCATCTCCTTCTGTGTGATGAAATGGGCATGACAACAACTCTGTGTCATGCTCCCATGTGAGCAGGAAAGTGATATTTGAAATAAATGTTCTCTCCATCCTCCCACCTGCTATCACAAACTATATCAGTTCCTCTCCCTCAAGCCTCATCTCAGACACTCCAGTGGAGGAATGAAATGTGAGGTTTTGGCTGTATGAGAAACTGGTAACTTGGAGGGGGAGGCTAGTGTGGCACTAAAAAGACTCTTGTAAGAACCAAGACATTTGGAGAGGGGAGTTCATTTCAGTAATCACAGAGACACTGAATGATGGTCCTTGATACTGGAGGAGGAACTGTTCACAATAATTGCAAAGCAACATTCCTAATTTATGATTCGCCTATATAGTCTATACAGATAAATACAAAATTTAGCATGTAAAAACACCTTTCCCACTGAGACAAATGAAAGGTAAAAAAATAAAAATAATGAGGAAAAACATCTATTAACTCATAATGCCTTCCTAACAAATCACCAATCAACTCTACGGCCAGGCTCAGAACAGGGTCCTTGGCACGCAGGCAGACAGCACTTGCAAGGGAACAGTTTAACAAGCACCTAAATGCTCATAAGGTGAAGACCAAGTAGAGGTGGATCCAGAAGCTTGGGTATACCAGTGTGGTCCTAAGAAGGACCTGCTAAGTCTTGGGCCATGAGGGCTGACTGTGCCCGTGGCCCTGTGCACACCATGCATCCACCCACAGTGATCCGTAAGCCAACCTCCCTCTTCCTAGACCCTGCTTTAATGGACAAACCCTGGGGGTACAGGCACCCAGTACACAAGGACTGAAGATCTTATCTTTCAAACAGTTGACATCTTCCTAGGTATTTGGCAGAACTAAATTCCATTGTGTAAGCTTTTGATCACTTTCCAGGGTTTTCTTATTACCAGTGCATTTATCCTAGGATGTTAACAGGGTTAAAATAAACTGGAAATTAGCCCTGAGACCATTAGAACAGAAACTAGACAAAATGTTATTAGCCCTAGACTGAACAGCAAACTAAGGATTTTTTAATTCTAGCAAAGCAATTCAAATGAACAGTGCTAGGAGGCAATTAAATTTCTTTTCATCTGAATAGCACTATGAATTCTGGATGTATGAAATGGGAACCCAGAAACATCAAACTATGTCAGGCAAAATAATGATGCACTAGCAGATGGAAAGCCAGAATAACATTCCTTTAGAACACCTTTTTGGTATGGCTCTACTACATGATGTTTGCCCACTACCTAAGCCATTTTATAGAACTCCTGCTCCTGGACAACCTTTGTTTCCAATTCTAACGTCTCAGTGCATTGCAGATAAACCGAAATCAACTTTCCTAGTGTTTAAAGATTTCTTCAGCACTGAACAACTTTCTCCAATAGGTCCAGATTGAGGAACCACGGGACAGGCGTTTTCTTTATACTGTTTATTTTTGCACAAAGGCAAAGAAGCTCTAAGTGTACACAATACACCTGCTTTTTGAATACTATGCCTGACACCTTTTCTCTTAATCTGTACTTTTAATTCTCCTTCCATTAATTGCAGTTCTTAAATTATCCTCAGTTTCTCATAAAATTTGACCTGTCCTGAGCATACTTTGGTATCTTTGACTTTTAATAAAAACTGAACTTCCACTCACTATACATTATTAGATATATTAACAGTTATACACACTTTCAGTTGATTCCAGCAAGTAAAATTAAGTAATTGTGCAAGTACAAGAGCATAATACAGATAAAGATATATTCAGACTAAAGTATCTTGCAACATAACTGCAAACTGGTATTCTGAAGTTGTCATATAAATTAGAGAACTTTATTTCCATTTGAAAGCAGTATATACCTGATTCTGGTGTCCGGACAATTGCACTGTCAATGTAGCCTGCTTCAGTGGTAACTGCAGACACTTCAAAAAGATAGGTAGTATATGGCCTGAGGTTAGTTATAACAAAACTAATTGGTTCATTCCAAACAGAACTCATTTGACTCGGTGCCTCTGTAATTGGTGTAACCGTAGTCCGTGAAGGAATTGTGGATTTGCCAAAAGTCGTTGAAGGAGTGGTAGTACTCCACAGAAATGATTCACTGTTATCCTACAAAAGGACAAAATACGAAACATGATAAGCTGCATCTATAACCTATAACTGTAAATATACATAGATCAAAAAAAGGTAGACCACCTCTGAAATTAAATTATCCTAAATTGGTTCACTTTTTATACTTCAATCTCCAAATATAGGTTACCTTTTCATTAGTTGACATTCTTACTACAGTTAATGATAGTATTAGTTTCCTGCCTTATCCCGAAAGATCTCAAATCTGACTGAAGTAACTCTCTCTGATTCATTTAATTATTCCCAGATATCATTTTCAATGTTCAGTCTCTCTCTGAAGAAGTCCCTGAGTGAGGTCCTTCTACATCACATGTATATTATATGCATGCACATGTGTATACATATATAGCATACATATATCCAATTATCATGGATAAGACCAGAAAAGTGTTTCCTCATCCATAGTCAGGAGACACACAGTAACCAATGCTTATGACTCAGTAGGTGCCAGTCTCCCTTCTCAGTGCTCAATTAAATCAGCCTGATGTTGGGAACCTCTATGATGTCTAAAATGATCTTCAAAATAAAATCTTGACATCCAAGAAATCATAAGACTCTGCTCAGAATAAAGAGGAAAAGGAAAATAAATACCAGAAAATTTTCTTCAAGAAATTCTAAAAGGTATAGATTGGTTACAGGTTTGAATCCAATGAATAGTCAAAATTCAGAAAATTTTCAATTAATGCTTCTTGTAAGAACAACTCAGACTACAAACATTTTTTAAAAAATCACTCTGCTAATGATGGGTCTTTATTTTGATATGAAAAGTATTTAAACAATGTTGGAATGTGATACACAGAATAAAGCACACATTTAAAATACAAAAAACCATTATGATACTATATATAAAAATATTAACATTATTATATATCAGCACTGACAAAAAAAAACCCACACCAATTCTTGCTTTCTCTAACTGAATGCTGTATAAAACAAAATGTAAAAATTGAAAGCTGAAAAAATTCAAAATTATCTATTTCATTATTTTCTGTTAAAAGCATATCAAATTGAACCTTTTTTAACGTTTTTACTTTGATTAAACTGAGCTTTTCAAGGAAAAGCATTCCATTTAAGTTATTCTGAAGATAAATGTTTTTCTTCAACCATAATATCCTGCCTTGGGCCTAAGTGTGTAAAGTATTTGTGTTTGTTCTGAAAAGCAAGCCTCCAAATTTTTTGTCTTAAAATTCAAATGTAAAACTATATTCTGTGGTTTGAGTCTATTTCTAATTTAAAAGGTTTATAGCACTTACATTACATTCTGGTAACCTCCCAGACAGAAGGTCCTCTACTTTAACCAAGACATCTTTCACTACAATTCCACTTCTTGCATGTTTCACACTAATCTTGAAACTAGTTATCTTTCCATTTGGTTGACGAGGGAGAAACCAGATCAGATTTACAGCTGAATAATTTAAGGCTTCAACTGTGAGATTCACTACTTTACCTGGAGCTTGAAAACAAAACAAACAAAAGCAGTGAGACACACTTTTCTTCTCAGCACTGGAAAAAAATAAAATCCCTTTTTTTGGTAATGCCATTTCTAGCTTCCAAAGCCTGAAGCAAATAAATAACAACCATTCACAAACACATGTGAAGTGTTGATATGCAACCAGCTCATTTCCAATCTAATGTAAGTGAGAAATACAATAATTTCAGTCTTGTAATAATATAGTAATTGGTTTGGTCAACTTAAAAATATTATTCCTAGAAGCAACTCATCTACTGTGTCAGAAGCAGCAAATTTTTGACCATTTTTGTTTGTTTAAGAGCATGTAATAGCATGGAGTGTTTTCTTTCACTTCACGTGTATCATCTTTTCAGCTGGATATCGATTTTTGGTAGCTTTAATAGATCAATTTAATTTGAATATTCACTATTACTGCAGAAATTGTATTCTTTGTATCAGTGATGTTTTCCAAGGCCTTTTGTCACAGCATCTGTACGAATTACAGCACAGAGGAATGGGATGCAGCATCTAAACAAGTTTTCACATGTTGTCTGAACTCTCCTATGAATTAGAGCACTGGGGCTCTCTCTTAGTCCTATCTGCATGGCACAGTCAGCAGCAGTTCCTGCAACTGTCCACAATTACAGATCTTCCACAGGTGAATTCAGACAGGTCCTCCAAGCCTCGTATTTAGTTCTGACTTAGGCCCTGCTGAATCTTTTGCTGACCTTTCATCTCCATCCGCCTCCTCCCAGACTACAGTCTCTATATTTAAATAATTATATCTTCTGGCTAACTTTCCTACTTTAAACTGCACCTCTCCATGTTGATCAAGATGTTGGGCTTTCTTTAACCATCAAAGCAATAGGTTTTTTTTTAAAAAAAAAAGCTGAGAAGGTAAAAGTACAAATGTAGTATCAGTGACACGTAACTCTCACCTAGAATTCGAAGCAATCTTCCAATTACATTTATAATAAGGGATTTTAGCTTTAATAAAAATCTAAACAGAAATGCATCGAAAAGTAAAAAGCTAATGTTCTCATATGGAGAAATGTTAGTGTTATCCTCTGTCAAAAATGAGTAAATAAATTTCATGGAAATACGGTTCTCTACCAGCAACAACATACAAAGAATAATGAAGAATAATGACTTTCCATTGCTCCATGTGGCAAGTTTACTACCCCTTCTTATTATTTGTTTTCATAAATCACTGCATTATCTCAGAAATCTCATGCAGAGTGATGATTTCCTGGTATTAACTGAGGTGTGGCATTCTGCAGTTTGCACAGCTACAGAAACCAACCAGGATTCCTAAATGCAGAGGGACAGTCACTGCCATGGCAGCCCAAATACTATATTCCACTGAGACTGATTCACCCTAGCATAACTGGCCTGGTGCCAGCTCTTCAGCCAAGGCACAATTGCTCCTGAAGCGTAAGTGAGACTACAAACACTAAAAAGATTATGCAAATACGAGTGTAATTATTACTTTTTAATCTTCAAAACCATCAAGTAAAATTTTCATTTCAGCCATGTATTACTTTTTTTTCTCTTCAGAATTAAAAAGTAAAAACTTAGTAAAATACTTTCTGTGCTGGGCCTCTTAGAGAAGGCAGCTGACTCCAGCACTAAACAAATATGTTTTGACATATCTAGGTAGTGCCAGTGCTGATCGCACAACAAAGTCTGTCTCGTACTGCTGCAGGCAACAGCAGATGGGTCCACTTGATACGTAGTTCTGTTCAACCTGTGACCTTGCTTTCTGGAAGCAGCCTACCTAGAAACTGGTAGTTCAGCAAATATGAGCAAATTGCACCTTTTCCACTGAGTAAGAGAATAAAAAAGAATTAGGATTTTGTTCTAAATGCATCAGAATTTGTTCAAGAATAAAATGTGCATGGATACTTTATTTGAACAAATTAGAGCAGCTTTAATTAAAGTAAGTAGCAGCCTTATTAAAATTACCACTTTCTGCAGTCTGAAAAAGAAAAGGATCACTATATACTCCAACACCAGCACTGTTCTCAGCAGCAACCTACAGAAAAAAAAAAAAAAGCACCACATTAGAGAATCTATAGGATATCTAGTTCCGGAGACTATGAAAATCTTAAGGATACACAGAGATTCACCTTCTAGCTTTTAAAACTATAAATATACACACGAATATGCCTTTTATAGCTGTATTGTTTAATTCCTACTCAACATATAAATGTGAAAAAATAAAGTGGAAAAATTATGAAACAGTGTAAGAAATTGAAAAAACCCTGTGTGAATATCCACACTTCAAAAGTGCTGAGTCCCTATTTTATGCTAAAGTCAACAGCAAGAATAACATCAGTAACACTGTTTCCTTACCACAATTCACTTAAACCAGCTTCCTCATTCCTATTGTACTTGTACTATAACATAAAAGAGCAAAAAGGAAAATAGGTTCTCTTTTATTTCTTGAACTCCTGAAGAATAGCAAAAGCAGGTCAGCCTCCTTCGGAGCAGAAACCTGAGGAAAGTATGTCTTTTGGCAGAAAGACAACAGGTCACAGAATTGTGGATGCACTTTATGGTGGATGTGCCTCAATGCTCATGATCATAGCAGAGTCTTCCCGTGAAAGGGCAGTACATTGAGACTTTTGTAGAATTTATGGAGATAAATGCAATAACAATGCAATTTACTCTGCAATATAGGACTTACTGACAATTCAACTCAGTGATGGGCCATGACACGCAATACTTACAAAGAAAGAAGAATGAAGCCTGACTCCTTATTTTGAAAAGAAGTGACAGAGACAACAAAAGTAAAACATGAGCAAAATTCCAACAGTGATGGTGAGAGGTGTGTGAAAGAAGCAGCAAAGTGAAAAGCTCACCAGGAAGGTTAAAGCTGGCAGAGTTGTACCCTCCCATCAGTGTCAGGTAACAAAGGCATGGTGGAGGTGCTGAGCTGATGGTGCAGTCTATGGGGAAAGCGGGGTGAAAAGGGGCAGATGTGCAAAACTGTGTGGATCATAGTAAAACCAACAGACAGCATGCAGGTGATAATGAAGGGCAAAGACAGTGGAAGAAGCCAGCAGGTCAGAAAGAATTGTTCTAATCACTTCTCACGACTAAACTAGGCATCTTTCAGAAGACTGTAAAGCTATTTAAACAAAAGCACTAAGCCACAGCAGACAAACTACAGCAAAGGTAACACTGAAGACTTAATCTAGGATGTAAAAGGATGTATATACTTATGACCACTTCCCAGCTCAGTGCATGCTCTGCTTGGTGAAGGAGAACCTGTACCACTGGGCATCTCCTTCCTAAGCTATACAATCCCCCCTCCCCAGAACCCTACCTACTTCTGTGTCACAGAGAGAACAACTTGAAACATCCTTCAGCACTGATGAATTCTACAGTAATTGCAATAGCTGAGGAAATTACCTGGAAATCTTCAGGTGTATGACAGGCAATCAGAAAATTCTGACAGTATTAAAATTGCATTATATACATCTAAAAGTATGTCCTCACCTGAACACTGACTTTTTGTTTTTTCATCTCAAAGTACATATTGTAGAAATGGTCCAGAAAGGAAAAAGCATCAAGACAGGAAATCCCTATCTCATACGTATAGTTTCAAAGGATCTCAAAGTTATTATGACATAAGTATGCAAAAACTTGCATGGTAAAGGTGTCAGCTACACACACAGATGAGCTTTGAAGATAAATCCAAAAAAATGCTTACACAATGTACTGTTAGCTTCTAGAGATCACTGCCACAAAGAGCCATTATTAAAAAAAAAAAAAAAAAAAAAAAAAAAAAAAAAGCTTGGAAACATTTAAGAAGGACAAGTTTATTATGCAGATAACAAAACACTATCCAAAGTTCAAGGAGCTGCAATTCACATTTGGAAGGAGTATTAATTTTTAGGCTCTGAAATATATGGCCACTAACTATTTAAGTTTAGGAAAAAACCCTGAACGCATGTTTTCATATAAATATCAATGATCAGATATTCAAAATTATCCATAACTCTCCAGCATTTAACAAATTATCACTTGTAACTGCTATTTCTTTAAAAATGCTTTTTTCATTAGATGTAAAGAAATTAAGACTGGGCTGTTACAAACAGATTGGAAACCCATATTCAAAGCTTATAGGCTCTGTTGAACTCTACTGTCACAGTATTACCAGAAAGAATTTCACAACAGGACCAAGCCAGGTACCCTAAAACAATAAGAATTTTCACCTATGCAAAAATTAAGGACTACTTTTTAATGACAACAGACTGAAAAAAAAAAAAACCAAACAACCGAACAAACCAAAAGAACCACAAGAAATTGCTCATGAGAAGGAAAACATAATGTTTCTTTTTGGTCACATCTGTGATGTAGAAAAAGTGTTTCCACCTGAGTTGTTATTGAATCTGCAAGGTTGCTCGTGGGTCAGACAGTCAGGGCGCCCACCAAAGCAGTAGGTAATGTAACAACCCTTAGCTTACCAACAGATTTTTATTCACTCATGAGAAAAGCCGTGTGGTCCCTGCTAGATGGAGGTTGTTGGGTCACAAGTAATTTTCCTGAGTCAAATTCTGCTCGAAAATCAATGTGTCAGGCACCAGCCATATATATATATATATATATATATACACACACACACATATATATATACATATTTGCCTGTATATACCAAAAAGGGGCAAGTTATTGCTAAGTAAAACAAATTACTTCAAACATTCCACAGTTTTCCTGGGGAAGATTCGTATATGGAGCAAAGAATGAAATTTGAAAAACCTTTAACAGTGAACCCCACACAAGTGCTACTGAGCTACTCAGAATTGCAAACTGAATTATCTTAATTAAATTATCAAACTTCATCTGTCTGAAGAGATTAATCTGCTTAGAGCCTAGGTGATAATTCTTTTCTCAAATAGTAGCTGAACTATTTCTGTGTGGTGCTTTTTTTTTTTTTTTTTTTAACAGATGACTGGAGGCAGGACATCAAAGGATAAACATTTCTCCAGCTGTGGATATACTGGCTTTTATCAGCATGGTCATCACAACTAGATTCACAGTGAGCAACTTTCCCACAATGGCAGGCATAATTACATTTTTTGTTTCTTAGACACAAACACCCCCCACCTTTACAAAGAGTCACTGCACAGCCCTATTCCTAGTCTGGTCAACTTCAGTATTTTTTATAGCTTTGCACTGTATGGTATTACATGATATGAAATAAAGCAAATCAAACACATAATTTCATTTCATTTTTGATACTGAGAAGAAGCACCTCTCTAAGGTTCTTATGAAAGAGTAAGTCAGGTGAAGACAGCTTGGCAAATATTGCCAAAAGGACGGCAGTTCCTTTCTGTTCACCTGAAATCATTTATTGTTGAAAAATTCAGAGATGGATGAGGAGTGCCTAAATGTAAACAAATTTCACACATAGAAGCCATGAAAATACATGTACTTATTTTGGCAGTAGATACTGTGAACATCTAGGCATTTAAATCTATGGAAAAGGAACGGAAAGGTATGCCATTTTTTATTTCAGGAGATAACACTAGGTAAAACTCCCAGTGCTTAGGGAAACTAGGCTAAGGTCTTTACAGGCTACAACTAAAAAGATACTCAGGCAAGAAATCTCCTTAAACTAATCAAAGAAAGAAGTATGTACCTACATGCTTTTCTGGATCTGGTTGAGATGATTTAGAAATCTACACATAATATCCAAGGTGCACCATGGATTTGAAAGATTAAATCTCAATTAAGATGAAAAAGGATTTAGATGATTTTGAAAATTCTACTATTTGCTTTTTATTTTTTACCAGATAATGTCATATGTCAATAAGAATATCAATAGAAAAAGCTACGTTTTGTACAAAATTTTGATTGGTAATTATTTAAAGTAGACATAAAACTACTACTGTAAACAAATACCTGGCTAATGTATTTTGTTATATGGCAACAATAATTAGCAATGTCCTTCAGAAAACACTATATGGACCTATCCTAAACTCACACGATTTAAAATAAATCAGAATTTAAAATATTAAAAGGCATTTGTAAAGCTTTTACCGTAATTTCATAAGTTGTTCCAGGGTTAAGACTGGTAAGAAGAACTTCCAAACTATCTGGCTTTGTTGTGACCTGTGTATAAGCTGTTTGCATCCATGGGCAGACCTCTTTATATTTAACGATATAGGAGAGAATTCTCCCATTTGGATGCAGCGGTGTATTCCATGACAGAAGAATCCCAGCAGAACCCACTCTTTCACCTGCAAGGAACACAGGGGGCCCAGGATCTAAAAGAAAAAAAAACAACAACCAAACCCACCAAAGTAATTGGTTTTGGTTTTTTTAATATATATATATATATATATATATATATATATATACACACACACACACAGAGAAAACAGTTTTTAATTAAGTTTCCACATAATGGAGACACCTTCACATCTTCTATAAAGAAATTAAATCACCTGCCAGCATAAACCAGTAAAACTACAGAAAACTAATGTACTGTTAAATGAAAAACTTTTTTGCTGGCTAGAGTCCTGTTACAAAAATGATTAAATGAATTTTGGAACACCAGGAACATTCTTCTACAAGAATGTAAAATATGTAATGCTCAAGACCTTCATGAACAAAACAAAATTTAATGCCAATTTAATATTTGAGATATTTTAGCATGCTTAATTTCAGCTCCTTTCTCTAAAACCATTCAATAGTAAACTGCACTCTTACAAAAACACATCTGATAAGGCTACATTTTTTTAAAATGTATTTGAAGTCTACCACTATACATATAAATTGGGGTATGAATGTACATGACACAGTAGCAAATTATAAAAATGCTTACAAATTGTTCTCCTTTAAGTCTTTTTCTTCTTTTCTTTTTTTTAAATTTTTTTATATTGTCAGGCTGATGAATACAACTACATCTCACAACCAGGACTGCTTCTTAAAAATATCTGATAGAGAAACTCTCATAGAATACCTGTATTTTTTATGGCTAACGGAAAAAAAAAGACTGTTCAAAACTGATTATAATTTCTCAGATACTACTGTGCATATAATACATACAAAAAAGCACAGTCAAAAAAATCAACAAGATTTCATCAGTCATTATTAACTCACTTGTCACGTTTGTTGTCACTGTTCTACTCGCAGGTAAACTGTACACTGAAGAAGAAACTGCAGAAACTGTAACACTGTACGTTGTTCCAGGAGTAGTATTAGAAAAATCAGCCTGAAATAGGACATAGATTTATTTAAGTCTTTTACCAAGAATCATGGAAAGGAAAAAAATCCCCAAAAGCTTAAGCAATGCATTACTGAAAGTGATCTATTAATAAGGTTTTAGAAATACACAGTATTTACAGTAGTAAAAATAGTAGTTTACATCTGTTATCTACAGTACAGTATTTTGCCATCTTATTTAACTATCCTCTGTAAGATTTGTATAACATTCAGTATTAAAGAACAACAAAAATTAACAATTTTATCTCCTATCAGTGTATCTACAGAGGTTTTTCTGTATTATCCTTATCAAAGCAAATATGAAGCATTATAAAATTCCTTTTTGAAAGAATAAACACAAAAGCAACCTAAAAAACCTACAGGTTTTTGATGCTTAAGCTACCCCATCTTTTGAAATAAACATAATTAACAACTTTTTAGCAAGCATTTATATAAAATACCTGTATATTAGCAGTTCCAATAAAGAACAAAAGCAAAACAACCAGAACAACCATTATTCTGTTAATATTATTATATTTTTAGACAGCAGAATCAAAAAGTGCTCCTATTTCTTTTTGATGGCTTAGCAGTGAAATGTTGCCTGCATTAATGATTTAAGCACAGATCCTCCTGGCAAGTGCACAATTAATGAGTCTGTATTACTCAATAGCTCTGCCCTTCCTTTGTTAAACTATTCATGAACCCCTGGATGACTGGCCGTATCCTTCTAGCAGACTGAAAAAAAAAAAAAAGTAAATTCACCACATGCTCTTAGGTAACAAACTCTGGACGCTGAAATTTGCTCTCACCAATTTTTCATTAATACCTTCATATTAGTATTTGCATTAAATAGCTAAGGAGGCAAGCTTGGATTCCTCATCAGCACAGTGCATAAGGAAAAGCTGGCCATGCAAGTCCTGTAATAAAAGCACATACTTGATACTCTCTAACTCCAAGATCTAGGATAACAACAGAACCATGATCAGGAATAAGATCCACATGAAATCTGTCTACATGTCCATACTGTAGTCTCCAATACAGTGAAAAATAATGTGATGAAACATTGAAGAACTTAAGTCCTTCTGGCTTTGCAGGTTCTGAAAGAGAATTGTGCAATAAAAGACATTAACTTAAACAACCCCCTTTACAAATACATTAGTAGTTACAACCAAATATAAAAGCATCTAAGAACAGCTTACTTGCTACATGAGGTTAATTGCTTATTAGCCACGATACAGCATTATATTATAATACACTTGCTATACTACCTCTGAGACTTGGTTGACAATCTCTCAACTATGCTGTGCCAACAGCCCCATTCACAGAGAGCAGGCTCGAGCATCTCTGCCGTGTTCAGTTAACAAAGAATCCCTGCACAGTTCTGGCTTTTCTGGTGTCCTCAACTTCAAAGTTAGCACTGCTACTGTCATAACTAGTGCTACAGCTGAAATTCAAGATACAGCTGGTGCTTGTTCTGTTGCTAGCCATAGGGTTGTTAACTCTTTTATACTTTTCATATATTTGGAATCCCAGTAATTCCATGAAGTCTAGTGAGTTAAGTCCGTGAAATTTGGATGTTTTACTTTTATTAATGCCAAGTTTCCACCTACTCTTGTCAACCATCTCACTTTCTTCTGCCTTTAAATGCACCTTTAAATCTTTATCATCCACTCTTGAGACTCATAATGAACCAGATTTTACTTCCTCAATAGGTCATTAAAACATTACCCACTTATAATATTATATAATATATCCACCTGTGCAATTCACAGTCATGTGCATGTGTCTACTTTCTACTTTGGAAAGTACACACAGCTCACAGTTGTCCCTGTTCTTATTTCCCAGAGTAAGCCCAGTCAATGATGCTATTTGTCATACTTCAGATTCACCACTACCCTTACACTCTGTCCTCTGTTTGCGTTACTAACATGGCTCTTCAGAATTCAGACTAAATCTTCTAGTACTGTTTATACACTAATATCATCCTGTGCATTCTGAATATCATGTCAATTCCATCCTGAAAGAGCTCCACTACTTTCTTATTTACTGTAAAACTGCTTAGATTATGCATCTTTCATGAACTCTTTACACTGACTATTCAAAGTTGCAGAATTGTTTCAGATTACTCCAGTTTTTCCATCAAATAATCTATCTGAAATATTAATATATTAAAATATTACCTTAGATTTTATATTTAGTCTGCATGTGTCTTATATGTATGATTTTTAACTTGTTGCTTTATTTTAGTACTAACAGAACAAAAAAAAATTCGATAATATATGTGGAGGTGTGCAAGTGCAACTGAGAGCATAATTTCTTCCTTTTAGTATACTTTTATAAATTTCAAGTTCTACTGCTATCATCAGTACTATTATTCCCATGGATCTCAACTTCCTTTAAAGCTGGATTTTACCCTTATAGGTCTTTTTTATACAGATTAATAAATGATTAATCTCTGAGTACAGTTATGACTTAAATCATCTCTTTACCTCAGTTGAATAACTTCTGACTCAGCCATAGAAGAGAACATAAAAATGTCCTCATGGAAAGAGAAATTTAGTCCCATGAAGCTACTGCTTGGAAGATTATTGTGCCATGACTGAGAATTACCCTTCTCACTGACACTGAAAAAAAGCCTCAGTTCTACTCTCCTGCAGATTTAACCACGTCATCAAGGAGTGCATATGTGAGTGTGGTTCACTCAGGCCTCATTGCACCTGCTTTTCTACAGTCTTCATGAACATACACGCACACTTCTTACCAGCAGTAGTCAGCATGTTTGTATAAAGTACACAGCCAGTATATTTGTGTAAAGCATAATCAGAACAATTTGCTGTAAATTTCACAATTTCACCTACAAAAATACTACTTAGTATCTGCAATGTATATTCTGAGTGGACTGAAAATTAGTTGAGCAGCTACATCAGTGAATATGCAGTGCAAAATACAACATGATAATTTTTTCAAAAATTAACCATTATAAAGCAGCAGGCTTGGCATCACAATGTAATCTCTACACATTTAAGTAAAAGGAAGCACAATCAGACCAACCAAACTGACTTAAATCTTACCTGAATTAGAAAAAAAACATTGCAATTAAAGTATTATAGCATTGCAGTCCTAATTTAAATTTTAAAAGGCATACAAGATTTTTTCTTATTAATTTTACCCTCAAGACATTAACTCAAAACAAATGTAAGGATTTTCACCCCTACATCATTTTATTTTAAAGACTCTCTTTGACCTCTTGCTTCAGTCCCACTGACTAAGGCAGAAGCACCAACAGTCTGTCAAGCACTGATCCCAAAAGCAGACATACAAATGTCATGACATTTGGTCAAAGTAGTCAATCAATGACAACTTCTAACACTTCTCAGGTCTCATACCACCATGTCATTGCCACAAAAAGCCCTATAAAAGGTAGAATATTAAAATAGTAAGAGAAACTGGTTGAGGTAGTTCTGGTGCATCTTTCTGATCTTTAAATTTTATTGGAATTTTACATTATTACATTACATTAAACTGCAGACACCAGTGTCAAGATTGAGATTTTACCCCACTAAGTTTTAGTCACAAATCTAGTAAGAAACAATCCTTGGAGTCGTTTACAATCTAAAACCTTAAATCTACAGACATTTGTAAACCTGTGTAACTTACTGCATAAAACCTACTGAAAGATAAAGTAAAACTCAGCTCATGCGTAACTCTTTGCAGGATAAGACCTGAAAAATAATGAAAAGACTAAAAATGATCAAAAGAAATGCATCACAGCTAAAGAAATTATGTTTCTGGTAGCTTATCACTAGATGCAGGTTGACATTAATGTATGTCCACAACCACATGCAAGATCTCTTGAAATTCCAATGTTTTTCTACACAGCAAGAGGTACAAAGATAAACGTGCACTGTTATTGACAGCTACCATTCACCAGCAAAGAAAGAAAGCAAGAAACCACACAGACCTGTTACAATTTCAATGAAAGCTGAAGCTCCTTCAATATTTCCTCTTAGTCTTTGCAGTGTGAAGTTATAAATGCCCCCAGCAGTCAGACCTGTAACACTGAAGTCAGTCAGTGTTTCTGGAATTCTGAGCTTTTTTATAAAGGTGTTGTTTGATAAAGATGCTTTATAAGAAGTGAAGTTTGTCTTGGTTGGATTCCACACTAAAGTTGCAGAGGAAGTATTTACCATTTTTAATGCCAGACCGCATATCCCAGCTGGTTCTACAGGAAAAATTATTCAGATTAATAAAGCAAACTTTAATGCACAGTCCTTAGAATAAGAAGAGTACCATCTTTTAAAAATAAATGGGTTTTATTTAAATGATTTGAGGGTTCACAGCATCATGAAATATTCATACAAATTTTAGAAGTATGTTTGCATGGATATACAGTAAACAGTGCCATTATGCTGCACAGGGTAAAACTTGGGGATGTACCTCCTGTGTGCACTATGTAATTTATGGAAGAAAATTCCAGACTTATCTGATCTTCTGTAAGAACAGTGACATTCCTCACTGGTGAAGCAGAATGAGAGTGGAACACTTTGTAAACAGAAGCAGAGATTTTATTCAGTTAAAAGTTTTCTAAAATACATCACAGGCCATATAATTTTAGAAAACTGTTCTTCTGCTCACTTAGGGATACAGTAAAACACATAGTCTCAGTGATTAGCCCTTTTTTCATTTTTAAATATTTCTTTTGGTTATATTAAAATTCCTAAAATAACAGGTAATTATTTACAAATAGGACCTCCACTAATCTGTGCAGCACAGCCACAGTTAGAAAAGAAAAATGTTTCAATTCCTCCTAAAAAATGAATCTTCCAGATTATTGATTTATCTTGTTTGAAGTTTTCTGAAAAATAGTAATTAGCATAATCCCACTAAGGGCTGGAATATTCAGCACAAAAACAATCCTAAATGTTTGCCATAAAATGATAGAGAAAACTCTCCATAATCTAGCCATACACAATACTCTTGAAAATATTTCCTTGAAAGATAAAAAGCACCATCAGGACCACAATGACACACTTTTCATTAAAAAGAATCTGCAGAACTATATCTGTTTTTTTTCAGAGATTCACTTATCTTTGAATAACTAAGTGCAGAGCCTCCTTGACTATTAACTGCATTAAGAAGTTATATTCCAAACAAATCACAGAAAATCCATCAAAGAGGGGAGGAGGTCTATGACATGCATGTGTATAAATCTGCAAATTGATTTATTTTTTGATTACTTTTATCTGTTCTGGCAGTCCAGAATCCAATATAAATCTACTTCTTCAAGTATTTGTCATAAACTAATCTACTTCTTCAAGTATCTGTCATAAACTAACTCTTCTCTTCTTATGCTCTATCACAGAGGCATTGGAAAATCCATGTTTCCTTAGAGACAGAAAATGACTGCAAGATACAGGTTAATCTTCTGGATTTTATTAAGATATCTGAAGCACAATTCCTCTTACTTTTTAAGCATTCTGTGGCCTTGTACAGGAGCAATCCTCCAATCTTAGACCATGAGCAGCTTGCAAGAATATAAGAGATGCAGAAACAATTGTAAACA